ATGGAATAGAAATTTTGTTTGTTGCTAAGTATTTTTAAATAATTGCATTTAATCAAAGACCACAATGTTATAGAGCGGTAACAACGAAAGTGCAAGATATTTACTCTAGTACATTTCTAGGTAATTCTAATTATTTTGTTCTGTAACATTTTTCTCGCTAGTTTTACTTGTCTATTATAAGACTAATTTTATAAAATACGAGTATATTAGGTATACATCAAAAAATACCCATCGAAACATGTTCAACTTCCTAATTAGAATGCGTGATGCGTAGCTACGAAGAGACACTAATTAATGTCATGTAGCGTCTGGGACAGACGAGTCGGCAGGGTGCCTACACTGCCTACCGCCGCAGAAGTAGGAACAACGGACTAGTGTGGCCCACTGTCCCAGGTATGAAAACATTATGGGACACCCAGGTTGGCAAGTAGAGACATTTGAAAATATTTAGTCTCCTTTAGGGGAAAGATTCTTTTCAAGTTATTACGCATTTTGGAGTAACTAAGTTACGAGTAAGTAACATTTTTGCTTTTGCATTTAATATGAGTTGACTAATAAATACTTTTCCTTGCGGACAAACTTGGACTTCGTTGATTAAGTTTTAATTGAAGGCCAAGCTGTTACACAGAAGGTGCAGCAGCATTACGAGGAGGAAAAAACCGATAGAAATCCAATTTTGTAATCAGTCCAATGCACATTATATTCAAGTCAAAGTAAATTCATAAAATATTAAGTACAAATATTACATACAACTATTACAAATGTCTACTTATCAAGTACTTATATTTATCCCTTATCAGATATCTTATTCTTAGAAAATATACCTACCAAATTCCAGTACAGGCAAACAGTTTTTAGAAGTTCGTGTGTGATATTTCTCTTTTATATTACGCTAGATAAAGCCGACGCGTGTAAAGGATTTAACAGACCCAAATACTTAGATAAGGACAAAAATAGAGCACGATATTCCTATACAGGTAAAAAATGTTTCACCGTTAGGGTTAATCTTTGTAACCACTGGTCCGACCAAACAACTTTTTTCCAACAAGGAGGAAGCTCTTGGCCTGTATCTCACCTGATGGTAAGTGACGATCAGGCCGATGGTGGAAGCGAGCTTCACCCGGAATCCTCAACCACGGAGGACTAGGCTCTATCATATCGCAATAATGCGGTAAATTAAATCTTCTGATGTTGAGGTGTACAGAGCTATGTGTGATTGCGAAAAGCTAGAGTAAACTTAATAAAGTACACTCACTGCTATAAAATACGTAAGCACATAATTATACGTTTAAAGACCCTTTACCCTTTTGTTACATGAAGGTGAAAACTAAAGGCTTATTATTAATAATTGATACGTATGACGTATTGTTTAGTAAGCAAATAAAGCACGAAGAAAAATGAGTAAGATGTTTGTCGTTTTATGACATAAAAATAAAACAATCATACAGGGTGATACCCCCCTTTCATGAGTGCCAAAATACTCGTTTATATTAAATAAAGTATTTTTGATTTGATTTGATAAATAAACACAACCTATAGAGGTTAGATAACTAATATGCTAATATGTTGTATTTACTTATCCCCCTGTATGTGGCGCAAAACACCTTTAAAGCTGATATAAAAGTTAATTTTCATATTAAACTGTATAGCGATATAACGTCTTAGTAACAATATTCCTCACATAACATAACAGTCCCAATTCTACAGCCTTGTCCCGCTTCTATATTTGGAGCTGACACTAAAAGCGCAGTCTAGACGGCCTACCCCTCACCCAGTCACGTCGGGAACCGGAAAACTCTCTATTTGTCAAATGTTCAAAGTCCAAAAAATTAATCGCGCTGCACTGTCTGGGACTCGGTATTTCATGTTTTGAATGACTTTCTTACCATTCAAATGCAAATATGTTATGTTATAATGTGGTTGAGTATAATTTATTGTTGTGTGATTATGACGAAGTAAATAGTCCTTGATAAAATGACAAACTTAATCTCACCTGTAATGAAAGTGGCATAGACTGAAAAAAAATGGAAAAATGCATGACTTTATTTTAGTTTTATTTAAAGTGAGATTGATAAAGTGTTTAAAAACATTTTGTTGTAAAAAAAGCATATAGGTAGGTACTCGCAGGTAGTTTTTAAATAAGCTTTGGCAACGAGCTTTTGATTAAACTTAAAACAAAGCGACTTATGCATACAAGTTAGTCATTGCCTCGTTAATTCTAATACGTCAAAAAAGAATTAAGTGGAAAAATATATCCTTTAATCCTATTCCAACTTTGATTAAAAGTTTTAGTTTTACCGATGTCCCGTAATCTGGCTGAAGCTGCCGATTCATGGAACTCGCCGTTAAAAAACCCACTGAAAGATCAAGCAGCCTATCTTACTTTATTTTCCTTTGCACCCGTAGTTTATCTGAATGGGTAATCCGCTCCTTTGTTCTCATTTGTGAGCATAGGTCGAATAAATGTACTAGGTATATACCTTGACGTCTAGACGCGGGGGCGGCGGGCGAGCGGAAGGTTAGATAGGTACATAGCACTTTATAGGCCTCCACGATACTCCCGACCCCTTCAGCCAGCTCCAGAGCTTACGTGATCTACGAAATTGGGTCACGCGGCATAATGAACAAATGTGAATAAGCTTGAATGGATAAAAACGAGTCGGACGTAAAAGGGGTCGGTGTAAAAAAGTTTTCTGAATTGAATTTCCTCGTTGTTACCGAAAGAATCGTTCCAAATGAAAAAGCATTGATTTTTAAATTAAAGAGAAATGAAATTGCTGTAAAGGTAAAAGTTCCATAGTTACACCCTAGTGTAACTTTTATGAAATCGGAGTTAATACGCTTAGAATATATGAGCTTATACGAGTATTTCAGATTTCCTAAATTATTCAGGATGTTTCAACGACATAATGACTTCAGAAGTGTTTTGATCGATCTTACTGGGTTAAGTTCGAAATAATAAGCCACTCTTACAGGAAAGATGACCTTGTAATTCTTAAAAACTTTTAATGTAAGTACAGTTAATGCGCAGAAAAGAAAGTTTTACAGCAACCGATAAAATATCGCAAGGTCGTAAAAGTCGTCACCGTCGGTTCATTCCGTGAATTATATTCGACACGATTATTTGTAGGCAGATTAAGTGATTTAGGATCGGCATGAAAGTTCGCGGTAATGGTCGTCTGCGAAGCCAAAATAAAACAGTACTTAATACGGCTTAATTTGTTGCTCTACAGCAGTGGTTCTTAACCGGTGGTCCGCGGACCACTGGTGGTCCCTGGAGACATTCCAAGTGGTCCACGAAGTGCACTTGCACACCTTGGTTAAAACCACTTTTAACTGATTTTTGCAGTGTTTTGACCAATTATGAGGTGGTCCCTGATAAGACATACATTTGGTATAATGGTCCCTCATGACTTAAAGGTTAAGAACCACTGCTCTACAGTAATTATGTAAGTACGTACATTATAGTGACTTTGAGTAACTTGATTTACGCAATAAAGACCTAAAAGTTTGAAGCACGAATCGCACTCTCCCACTGTTGAACTAACGTCTTCCCTAACTCCTTCTATTGATCTCATTAACGGCTAAATGTAAACCATAATCCTGAAAATGGCCGGCCAACATTATTTTCAGGTAGTGCTGGCGTAATTGAACTGGCTATTTTTTCAGGCTGTGGCAACAAGCAACTGTAAAGCTCAGACCTACCAGAGATGGTTTCAAATAACACGCGACTTATACATTTTCTTTTCGTAGGCGGAGTTCGGCGGACTCGCCTGTATAAATAATGTATTTCACTAATGCCCGCCATTTATTTCGCATTTGAGGGAAATAATCCAGTAGGTATAATTTGCTTACACAGGTAGAGCTAACAGCAGTATTACATTTCAGTATTATTGTGTAGGTAACATGTCCCTAAGTGGCGGTGTGCCTGTCGTTAAAATACATTCCTATTTTGCAGTTTTAAGTATTAACTTGATATTATTGTATTATGATTAGCAAATACCTGGCATATCTGTCGGGTAAATCATAACTTTTGTTTTCACAACTTCATCGGTACCTAAATAAGTACTCTGCCAATTTTACTTGAAAGATAGCGTTAAACTTATTTCTGAAAATACAAAACATTTTCAGTCTTTATGGCTGAAAAAGTAAGTTGAAAATCTTAAGACTACTTTGGAAGAAAAACCTAACATGATTGTGCAAACAAGTTTGTAAACGATTGAACCATGATAAACGATTTCAACGTAGATGAAATATACCTATTTGTTTGAAGGTTCAGGCTAGCGTCTGCCCTTCCGTCGCCCTTCGTAGGCGCTCTGCCTTTGCAGAATACAGAATAACTATATCTTCGAACCTGTCTGGTTTTGGGGTCACAATGAACGTAAAATAAACGTAAGCGAATCGTTCACTAGAAACCGACGAGCTGTAAAGCAGACGAAAACAAAGGCTGGAATAGTAGTAAAAAGAGGTCATATTATAGGGTTGAGTCAAAGTTGTATAAAAAACTTTTTGATATTATGATTATAAGGAGGTAATTGACTAAGATGTTTTTATAGTAATTGAAGCATAAATTAAAGCATAAACCTGTAAACCCAAGTATTACTATTTACCAACCTACCGATATACCTAGAATTGTGGATGTTATGCGTAATGTGGATATTATAAATAACTAAGTATTTATTTCATTTTTTTAAAGTTGGTTTTGCCTGAGCCTGACTCATATTTCGGTAGGTAGGTGTACCTATTATGATTTTCCTGATGAATGACTATTTCAAAGTTTTCAGTAGTATTCTAGTCCTTGTCAGCCCTAATCCCTTTTTCCTGAACCAACATTCGTACACTTAAGAAAAAGGACTTTATCGTGTTTTTACATTTACCTAGAAGTAGGAAAATAGGCCAGTCAGCCTAAGCTTAGAGAACATGGACCAAAATAGTACGTAAGAACTACCTACCTAATTTTCACACTGCCTAATTTAAATCTTGATAAAAACTTAGCACGATTATTCTATGTTGAACTTATTTTCAAAGTAAAAACAAGTTCCCGGCTTGGTGGAAACAGTTTCATTAATTAGCCAGTGAAACGAGGTTCAGGCTCCAAAACTAAATAAAATTGCTTTCCTTAATACTCCTCTTACAATAAAATCTATCACGGCTTTTATTACGTCTCAGCTCACTGAAATCGAAGACGTAAAATCAATTTTAAATAAGTTCTACTGCCTCATTTAATTTGATATGGCTCTAGGTATTTTCTTTCTATTAATAATGTAGCTAGCCATCGAATTGCGGTATTTCGTGAGGATTTTGCTTGCTTACTTCGATTTGATTTGAGTAGGTAGGACGCAGACGGTATAAGTTCAGAACAACTAACCTGTTTCACATCAGGATTTCCCTTCCACTTATCCAGGGCAAACTTGAGTGATCACCTAACTGGGAGATCACTCAGGCCGCCAAAAATTTGAGGAGTTGCTGACTAACTTTTTTAACTTAATTTGGAATACAGCTAAAGTAGAATCCTTCGTAGCCTCGTTCCTCGAGGTTCCTCCTCGCCACGTTCCTCTCAACATCTCGCTTCTACCTACTTACACTATTATTATTAACATAATAAAATAAAATTCACGTAACAAAACACGGGAAGTGTGTGTTTTTATATCTATAGAAGGAAGTTCTTTGTTAAAGAGTTAAATGTAGATAAGCAAATGACTAAAGACAGATGTTCGTTTGCGCCAGACATTAATATCTCCCGGCATGGCCATCAAACACGCAACCCTTTCCGAACTCAATGTCAGAATGATAAAAAGCAAGTAAAATGAATAATTTGCTTGGGCAAATAGTTTTTTAAAAGATGTTTAGGTAGGTACAATACTTAAATTACAATTGCATTAGCTTGATCGATTAAAACGCTTAGCAACCCGTTTCCTGGGGGAGTTGATGCTTATTTATTATTCTTTGAAATTGTTTGTACGTTCAAGGCCTTCGTTTTGTGGAGATATTTTTAAATTTGGCCATATCGAAGACAGTCAAAATGGAAGCTCCGGCCCCAGCGCCCGTCGCCGTGGGAGGCCGCCGCGAACCGTCCATAGATGCCGTCAAGGCTCAAGGAGTTCTGTAATACTCGTATACTTCCATAATTCAAGATATTATCTCACAAGAAGGCCCTTTGATGTTTAGATTAAATTCTGACAAAAGCGCTCCATTCTCTTTTCGAGTAATAAATATACAAGAGTTGTTTAAATTTTTGAGATGTAAATCCTTTGTTGGCGTTTTAGGAGGTCGGTGACCAAGAAAACGAGAGACGCTGCGAAGCTGTGGCAGTCACGATGGGGCTTTTACAGCTTTATTCGAGAGATACAAGAGGAGGAAGCTCAGAAAATGGGTAAATACCTATTATTGAGGATGACTATTAAGGCCGATTTGGTGATAACGATCATTTTAATGTTAACGTCTTTCTTTCCAGTACATTAGCTACCTGCCTATTTTAGTTACAGTAAATTAACCATAATTTTTTCGTTGAATTATTACGACTTATTCTTTTATCTTCTGATTACATCGCATTTATGTTCGCGTCAATTGAATTACCTAATCTTATTTTTTTATTACTAAGTTTATTTTATTTCTATTGTTATTAGGTGATGACTAACTAATAAAAAAACTATTTCTATTCTAGGCATGTCCTTAGAAGAATACCGCGAGGCTGTTCGCACTGTCAGCTGCAAACCAGAGCCCAAGACGTACCCAGTCGTTGTGGACCCATCACCAAAACCACTTCCTCCTACTTCTTCAGGTAAGATCGAAGAATGTGTTTGACGTGAAAATTTTACGCTTGAATAAAAGTACTAGGTAGGAATCGCGAGTCGCAGTTAGAATTAGAAAAGTTTAGTTTACTAACTTTTAATAGAAAACTGGCACGCTACACACTACACACGAGCAACTTGAGTGACGTCATGCGGAAGGCACTACGTACGAGTTTCAGCGAGCATTTAGTAGATTTTTCGATCCAACTGAAAGCTTTTCAGCTTTTGTTTCACATATATTGACGACGAAAAACTTCATATGTGCTTTTGTTTTTTTAAATGAAATGAAATGAAAATGTTTCAGCTATGGTGGGGCGTCGAGCGAGCTGTCCCTTGGAGAGATACGGTAGGCTGGTGAAGACCGACCGCGACTACCCTACGCGCCCGCCACTGCGCCCCGGCCAGATCTACGACCCTTACAAACAAACTTTAGTGTTTTTGGGGTAAATTGACACTCGATTGATTAGCGTTAAAAATAGATTTTTTTCTTTTGGTGTAAATACAAATTTTTGTGCCAGGAAGATAAATTGCACCATTTTTATAGGTTTTTTAACCGACTTCTTTAAACTAATGTTTTTTCATAATTTTTAAAGAACTTAAAATGTAGAGTAGCCTGCCAGTCTATCAGTGTTTTGTTTAATGTGCCGTATTTACCTAAGTACTTCAAGTGAAAAATATTTCTGATAAGATTTTCCTATCAATTTTAGTGAATAGAAACATACTAATTTTGTGAAACTGTATGTTTTCAACATAGATTTATTAATCTAAGGTTTTAAAGGAATCGTTAAGTATTGATGATTTAAGAACTAAGGCTTTTATATATTTTTAATGGTTACAGGAGCGTCGATGGCGATCCTATTTCATATAACATTCCACCAGCGAAGGCCGAGATACCAGAAGAGATGTGGTCCCGCCCGCACCAGTTGGAGGTCATGCCGCTAAGCAGGGACAACTTGGAGAGGGCTTTCAGGAATCTTAAGACTGCATAAATAAGCCATAAAAGAATGATTTAAAACCATGAACAATATTTTTGTGAGCTACGGAACCTTATCTTTGATCTCGGAATCCATCACACTAAATATTGTGCTAGGCAACTGATTGAACTTGGCCATAGTTGCTTTAGTTAGAATGATGTACTTTATTGAATTTGATATAGTAACGATTTTTGGCGTTCTTTAGCAAGTTCCCCTTTTAGCACCTCTATTCTATCCCACTTAATAAAATATAACTGCCGAAAAACACATAACTTAATACATTGGATGGCTATTAACGATTGGAATTACGACTTAGTAGTTAGTGCTAATTTAAACGATGAAAAGGAAAATTAATATCATAAGTAAAATAAACGATTTATTGTGTACAAACAAGTATTTTCATTAATATAGCTTTTCCCCTTATAATTATTTTCTGGATATCACTGGTGGTAGCTGCGAGACTATGTTCTCCGGGAGTACTTCCACTATCACTGCCTCGTCGTCGCCTACCCAATGGAAACCAGCCAAGTACTGGAAAGAAATACCAGAAATAAGCATTTTTTGTTATTTTAACACATACATTTATTAATATGGATTTAGCAAACTTTTAATTATGATTGAAATTATGGAAACTCACCTTTATGGGTACAATTTTCAAGCCCACATTCTGGCCCGAATTTGGTTTCTTTTTAGATGCTGGCTCTGTCGGTTCCTGAAACTAAATAAATAAGATAATTAATATCATTAATAAAGTAAAGTGACATTGTCAGCAGGATGGCCACCAAACCAAGATACAAGATAATATGTGGTCAGCTTACCCAACGCCTTGTGCTCGTATGGGTCTCAAGTGAAACCATAAAATATTTTAATCCTCTTTCTCAAAATATAACCGAAAAGGCCGTCGCAGAAGCAACTTTGCGAATGACATTATTCGTTATTTCTACACTTCTGCTATCTACGGGATGTCCCAAAATTAGCATGTCACACTGAGACCAGAGGTAAATGAGCCTAAGACGCATCGAACAAGACTATTAAGTATTTTTTTAATAACGTATTCGTTATATTTCGAAACTCATCAAACTTTTCTATAGACATTTATGACTAAAATTGGTCATATCTCAAAACCCAGCTACTAGTGTCAGTACCTAACGTGTGACGTGATAATTTTGAGATATGCTGTATTTACTGATTCTTATCATTTAAGCTGTTTGCAAGTCACCTGTTTTCTCTCCAGCACCCACAGAGACGTGTTGTCTGCGATAACCAGCGCCTTTCGAGCCGGGTGCTGCATCACTGCTCGGTATACCTATGATATAATAATATTAGAGGCTATAAGTGCTGCAAGTCACCTGTTTTCTCTCCAGCACCCACAGAGACGTGTTATCCGCGATGACCAACGCCTCGCGGGCGGGGTGCGGCGCCACAGACGATGCGGCCGCCTCGCGCGACAGCCACGCCGGAGGCAGGGCCGTATTCACCCACTCGGCGAACTTCTTTGTAATTAACTCGTACTCGACGATCTGAAAGCAAGGGCAAGTATGTAAAATTGGGTTCTTTTTACAACTTTTTCTGCGTTACGAGGTGTAATGTAACGTTAGCAGCGAGCATACGTAACGCCATCTGCTAAAAAACCGTTTCTGTTCGCTAGTTTTTCCGAACTGACAGCACATGTGCTCGCTCTGTAACTTTGCATCACTTTCCAACAGGTGAAATGTTGGTCAAACACAACTTTACTTTAACAATAATAAAAGAGTTATCAAGCGCGCAAACTTCTTTTCCCTAAATTTTTAGGTCTATAATATTTTCAATCTATACATGATACTATCTCCAGCAAATCTTTAAAGTGTTAGAAAAACAATCATGTGGTGTTTAAATTAACTCACCTTTTGATCTACATAGACCACTACAAGACTTTCTTGTTTACTGTCGACTGTTAGCGCCGAAGGTACACACTTATACTTCGGCAATGTGACGTAATGCTCATATTTCTTCTTCGCTTTTGTCCACACAGCGATGGCGCCTTGCGTGTCTGCTGCTACCAAATATATCGCTCCTGACGAAGTTTTCTTCGATATGTGAAGATGTAGTATTGATGAGGCTTTCAGATCTGCAAGATTATTAGTTGATCAACCACATTATTAGCAAAAATCACTTTTCTAATGCGACTGTGAATTTATTTAAAAAACCATAGTTGCCTCTTTAACATTGATCTGGCTCATGAACTATCTTTCTTTTAGGTTAATAGGGTATTTGACACCATTCCCCAATAATACAAAATAGTGACGTCACAGGCTAATATTGCCATATAAAATCTATAAGACTCTCATTTTGACTGTTTTAAAAAGTACGTCAATTGATTGGTGGTCAATTGACGTACTTTTCAGGTCGAATACCCTATTCTATGGTAAGTTTAGCTTTAAAATCATTAACTTACGCTTGGTGGTAGAAATCGTCTGAACGACAGTGGCGCCAGCTTGCGGGTCCACCTGTAAGACCAGGATACTGCCCGCGCAGTGCAGAGCCATTGTGCGGGAATCCTCTGTAAACGCGATGCGGTCGCAGGATGACGACACGCCGTTGATCAGTACTTTTGATAGTGACGTGTTCTGTTGATCTTCATCCTACAATTTGTTACAAACTCACAGTTAGCAATATGAATCAATTTTCAAGACAGGACGTAAGACAGATTAAACAATCAGTAAATCTGAAGTGGTTAGCTAAATATTGAAATAAATTAGTATGTATTTTATGTTGATAATGTTAATAAATACACAGATTAACAAATAGGCCTATATTTAATTAATGTGCACTAAATATCTCAGGAAAATCTTTGTCAAATAAAATTGTTGACTTACAGTATCTAATTTCAGCATTCTCACTGTATTTTCTGTTGAATAAACTATGAACTCTCCACTTGGTGATAGCTCACAGCATTTCATCTGTTTTTTGCCTTTGGTCTGAACTGAAACCAATTTCACTGGGTTGTCTGTTAGCTTTAAATTCTTATTTTTGTTGTTCTGATTATAAGCATTATTTAAAATAGCAATTGGAGTGTCCTTCTCAAGCTGACTATTGCTATCTGTTTGTTCAACATTTTTTGTGCTTTGGTTTGAAAAAACTACTTTTCCATTGTTTGTTGTGGCATATGAGCCAAGTTTCCATACTTCTAAGTGATTACTATATCTGTGGGAAAAAAACAATTGTTAAGAGCCATTTTACATTTTCGTGCGAATTTCTAAGATTTTGGAAGCATGAATTACTATCTTAAGCAACACCCAGAGATTATTTAATAAANAGAACTAAGACTTTTATATATTTTTAATGGTTACAGAAGCGTCGATGGCGATCCTATTTCATATAACATTCCACCAGCGAAGGCCGAGATACCAGAAGAGATGTGGTCCCGCCCGCACCAGTTGGAGGTCATGCCGCTAAGCAGGGACAACTTGGAGAGGGCTTTCAGGAATCTTAAGACTGCATAAATAAGCCATAAAAGAATGATTTAAAACCATGAACAATATTTTTGTGAGCTAGGGTACCTTATCTTTGAACTCGAAATCCATCACACTAATATTGTGCAAGGCAACTGATTGAATTTGATCATAGTTGCTTTAGTTAGAATGAAATTGTGTACTTTATTGAATTTGATATAGTAACGATTTGTGGCGTTCTTTAGCAAGTTCCCCTTTTAGCATCTCTATTCTATCCCAGAAAACGCTTAGCTCAATACATTAAGCCGCTATTAACGATTGGAATTTCGACTTAGTAGTTAGCGCAAATAATAAGATAATTTAAACGATGAAAAAGAAAATCAATATCATATGTAAAATAAACGATTTATTGTGTACAAACAAGTATTTTCATTAATATGGCTTTTCCCCTTATAATTATTTTCTGGATATCACTGGTGGTAGCTGTGAGACTATGTTCTCCGGGAGTACTTCCACTATCACTGCCTCGTCGTCGCCTACCCAATGGAAACCAGCCAAGTACTGGAAAGAAATACCAGAAATAAGCATTTTTTGTTATTATAACACATACATTTATTAATATGGATTTAGAAAACTTTAATTATGATTCAAATCATGGAAACTCACCTTTATGGGTACAATTTTCAAGCCCACATTCTGGCCCGAATTTGGTTTCTTTTTAGATGCTGGCTCTGTCGGTTCCTGAAACTGAATAAAAATTACATTTAAAATTGTGAAGAGACGCCTGAGGATACTATTGATCAATTGACGGTAGAAAGCCAGCTGGACCAAGGTACGATAAAATATGGATACAGCTTACCCACGACCTCATATGGGTCTCACGCGAAACGGTAAATAGCAGGCTCTTTATGCCATTAATCAATTGATATACTTTTTAAGAGCAATCAACAAGCGATTATTTTGTACCGTAAAGAAACTTTGACGTCGCACAAACCAACAAAACCAAAACATGCGTATTTAGCTTACCACGACGAGTTAACGGGGCCATTGTTTAAAAAAATAAATAAGACTGCAACTCACTAGTTTTCTCTCCAGCACCCATAGACATGTGGTCGGCGACTACCAATGGTTCGCGGGCATCACTACTCGGCGTATCTATGATAATGGTAATATTCGAACTGTTAGCAACTCACCTGTTTCCTCTCCAGCACCCACAGAGACGTATTATCGGCGATGACCAACGCCTCGCGAGCAGGGTGCGGCGCCACAGACGATGCGGCCGCCTCGCGCGACAACCACGAGGGCGGTAGGGCTGTGTTCACGTAAAAACGGAGACCCTATTCGGCGACTACGAATGGTTCGCGAGTGTACTTATGATAACAGTAATATTATAACTGCTTGCAACTCACCTGTTTTCTCTCTAGCACCCACAGAGACGTATTATCCGCGATGACCAACGCCTCGCGGGCGGGGTGCGGCGCCACGGACGATGCGGCCGCCTCGCGCGACAGCCGGGCGACATGGGCGGTAGGGCTGGGTTCACGTGGAAACGGAGACTCTTTTGGGTAGTAACGTTCGTAGGTTTCAAGCAACAGCAGCAATAACGCCTACGACTACTTAAGTTCTCTACTGCTCCCAACCTACAGCAAAGGTAACTGCTTACGCTGCTGAGTATACCTATGATATAACAACATCAAAGGTTGTAACTAGACGTGTTGTCGGCGATAACCAGCGACTCACAGGCGGGGTGTGGCACCACAAGTGAACCCACTCGTAAATCAAGCATATTTAGCTTACCACAACGAGTTAACGGGACTATTGTTTAAAAAAAAAAATAAGACTGCAACTCACTAGTTTTCTCTCCAGCACCCATAGACACGTGGTCGGCGACTACCAATGGTTCGCGGGCATCACTACTCGGCGTACCTATGATAATAGTAATATTCGAACTGCTTGCAACTCACCTGTTTTCTCTCCAGCACCCACAGAGACGTATTATCGGCGATAACCAACGCCACGCGGGCGGGGTGCGGCGCCACGGACGTTTCAACCGCCTCGCGCGACAACCACGCGGGCGGTAGGGCTGTGTTCACGTAAAAACGGAGACCCTATTCGGCGACTACGAATGGTTCGCGGGTGTACTTATAATAATAGTAATATTCTAACTGCTTGCAACTCACCTGTTTTCTCTCCAGCACCCACAGAGACGTGTTATCCGCGATAACCAACGCCTCGCGGGCAGGGTGCGGCGCCACGGACGTTGCGACCGCCTCGCGCGACAACCACGCGGGCGGTAGGGCTGTGTTCACGTAAAAACGGAGACCCTATTCGGCGACTACGAATGGTTCGCGGGTGTACTTATGATAACAGTAATATTTTAACTGCTTGCAACTCACCTGTTTTCTCTCCAGCACCCACAGAGATGTATTATCGGCGATAACCAATGCCTCGCGGGCGGGGTGCGGCGCCACAGACGATGCGGCCGCCTCGCGCGACAGCCACGCCGGAGGTAGGGCCGTATTCACCCACTCGGCGAACTTCTTTGTAATTAACTCGTACTCGACGATCTGGAAGCAGGGACAAGTATGTAAAATTGGGTTCTTTTTACAACTTTTTTGGCGTTACGAGGCGTAATGTAACGTTCGCATCGAGCATACCGTTTCTGTTCGCTAGTTTTCCCGTAAAGATAGCAAGTATTCTCGCTCTGCAATATGTTACATTACGCTTCGTAGCGCCGGGCAGTAGGTACGCACCTTACAGGGTTACTTTGCATCACTTTTCAACAGGTAAAATGTTGGTCAAAGACAACTTTACTTTAAAATAATAACAAAAATAAAGCACGCAATTTCTTTGCTTCTTTTTTTCAGGGCCATATTTCCATTGAGTGAATTTTAATAAATTATCACAAAAATTCTGGTGGCGTTTAAAAGTAACTCACCTTTTGATCTACGTAAACTACTACGAGACTTTCTTGTTTACTGTCGACTGTTAGCGCCGAAGGAACACACTTATACTTCGGTAATGTGACGTAATGCTCATATTTCTTCTTCGCTTTAGTCCACACAGCGATGGCGCCTTGCGTGTCGGCCGCTACCAAATATATCGCTCCTGACGAAGTTTTCTTCGATATGTGAAGATGTAGTATTGATGAGGCTTTTAGATCTGCAAGATTATTTGTTGATCAACCACATTGTTAGCAAGAATCACTTTTCTAATGCGACTGTGACGATTTTAACAATTCTATATGAAATCTATTGTAAATGTTTGTGAATTTATATTAAAAACCATAGTTGCCTCTTTAACATTGCTCTTGCTCATGAACTATCTTCCTTTTAGATTAATAGGGTATTTGACACCATTCCCCAAAAACACAAAATAGTGACGTCACAGGCTAGTATTGCCATACAAAATCTATAAGACAGTCTCATTTTGACAGTTTTAAAAAGTACGTCATTGATTGGTGGTCAATTGACGTACTCTTCAGGTCAAATACCCTATTCTATGGTAAGTTTAGCTTTAAAATCATTAACTTACGCTTGGTGGTAGAAATCGTCTGAACGACAGTGGCGCCAGCTTGCGGGTCCACCTGTAAGACCAGGATACTGCCCGCGCAGTGCAGAGCCATTGTGCGGGAATCCTCTGTAAACGCGATGCGGTCGCAGGACGACGACACGCCGTTGATCAGTACTTTTGATAGTGACGTGTTCTGTTGATCTTCATCCTACAATTTGTTACAAACTCACAGTGAGCAATATGGATCAATTTTCAAGACAGGACGTAAGACAGATTAAACAATCAGTCAATCTGAAGTGGTTAGCTAAATATTGAAATAAATTAGTATGTATTTTATGTTGATAATGTGAATAAATACACAGATAAACAAATAGGCCTATATTTAATTAATGTGCACTAAATATCTCAGGAAAATCTTTGTCAAATAAAATTGTTGACTTACAGTATCTAATTTCAGCATTCTCACTGTATTTTCTGTTGAATAAACTATGAACTCTCCACTTGGTGATAGTTCACAGCATTTCATCTGTTTTTTGCCTTTGGTCTGAACTGAAACCAATTTCACTGGGTTGTCTGTTAGCTTTAAATTCTTATTTTTGTTGTTCTGATTATAAGCATTATTTAAAATAGCAATTGGAGTGTCCTTCTCAAGCTGACTGTTGCTATCTGTTTGTTCAACATTTTTTGTGCTTTGGTTTGAAAAAACTACTTTTCCATTGTTTGTTGTGGCATATGAGCCAAGTTTCCATACTTCTAAGTGATTACTATATCTGTGGGAAAAAAACCAATTGTTAATATGGGTTCACATTCACAATTTGGTCCAAATAAATAAATTAAGAGATAATTAATTGAATGTAGGTAGTCTTAACCTTAACAGTAAAAGTTTTTTCTTAGCACAGACCGCTGACCTAGGGCCAGGTATCATGGGTGGTATCCTCATTACCCATTTAGGGGGGTAACTGGAAAGTGTGATGTAGCCATCAGCTCCTACAGACACAAGTCTGTCATCATTCAATGCTAATACCCTGGAAAAGAATTCAAAATAAAAACCTAATTAAAAGTATATTTAATTAATGAAATGTTTATAAAATTTATGTTTTATTACTAACTAGCTGACCCGGCGAACTTTGTTCCGCCTTAATGGCAATAAATAAGCAGACTTTTTTTTTATTTCGAACGGGATAAAAAGTATCCTATGTCCTTCTCCTGGCTCTAAACTACCTCCCGGACAATTTTCAGCTAAATCGGTTCAGCCGTTCTTGAGTTATAAGCGAAGTAACTAACACGACTTTGTAATGTGTAAATTCTGATATTTAGATTATTTTTTCTTATTTTTGTAAGAAAAATATCAAAGTTCACCAAGCATATCACACTGAGTAAATATATTTATGAGGTTTATAATATTTACCTAACATCATGTTCATGAATATTCCTTTGGACATTCTTAACCCACTGTAATGTAGGATGTTTACTAGTGTTATTGTTTACTTTGATAAAGTTAGTAATAACAGGGTCTACTCCACTGCAGTACAGACTGCTTTCGTCTTCTGATACCTCTATACATAGTATGTCTGCTTTGTGAGTAGTGTAGGACTCAATCTGAAATAAGTTTAAATTACCATAAAATAACAACAATACATATTTGTTTCATATATTTTATACATAAATATGTCTGCTATTGCTATGTAAGTATTATGGTCTGCTATATTATTAAGTTTAAATATAGAAAAAAGGATTTTAAAAAATAACACCACTATTGTTATGACTAGATGAAAATGCAAAATTACCTGCTCTCCCAACTTTCTGTCCCAAAATGTAAGTCTACCATGGCTGTCACCAGAAACTACAATGTTATCAGAGAGAACCGCCAAACACCACACGATGGTTTCCTTGCCTCGCCGACTGGCCAGCATACGGCTAGTGGCATGCCCTGTCTCTACATTCCATACCCTTATTGTGTCTATGGATCCTGAAAGTAATAATGGGTTAAAGTAATAAGGGAACTACTAGAATATGAAAAACAACACAGAAAAAGCATTATATTTTACAAACCTGTTACTAGTATGCTTCCAGTTTTATCAAATTTACAGCACATTATCCTGCCCTCTTGCTTGTCAAACAGCTTTTTGTACACAATTTCATCGTTTTCAACACTGTATAAATTGACATAACCTTGCTCTGTTCCCACGGCCACTAAAGTGTTGGATGAGTTCACGTCTAAACACCATGCTGCATATCCAGTAAGCAGCACAGTTTGTTTGACATTTAGCTTATCGAGGTCCCACTCCACCAGCGCACCGCCAAGTCCAGTAGACAACAATCTATCGTTAACCCAGCCAAGGGCTTCCACCGATCCATCTTCTACGCCCGGGATGAATTTCACCAAGTAAGGCGCGTAGTTCAAATCCCAGATTTCAATGGAAGCATCTGCCCTAAAATATTTAATATTGTATTTTTATTACAAACCTAGAATTAAGTACAAGAGCAAATAGAAATAATAAAAGTAACACTAACCTCGCCACAGCAATGTTTTTACTTGTTTTATTGTAAGAAATGCTGTTAATTATTTGAGGAGTAGGGTTGTAATACCGCACCCTATGAATTTTACTAGCCATTTTTAATTATTTAATACAATAATTTAATGGAAAAATAATAAAAACATTGCAAAGCACGCTGTTGACCGCTTTTCTGTCAAACGTCAAATTTGACATTATTTACCATGTGGGATAATTTCCGTTCAAAAATTAGTATTTCTAAACACAGTTTCTAAACGTTTTTAATGCTACGGCTATATGACGATACAATAACCGGAGGTTACCGGTAAGAAAAAAACCTTATGATGATGCCCCTTCGTTACGATTCGGAGTCTCAGTCTCTCGACTCATCGACTGCTCTCGACCACAACACTAGTTGAAATCTCAGATGACGGAATACAAAAATTTTAATTGTATTCATCGGATTATTTGTTTCAACTAAAGTAATTGCTGTCGGAGTTTGTAAATTTACCGTGTTTAATTTAAAATGGGTGACGGACAAAGTGAAAATCAGCCTTTGCTGCGAGATGGTAGGTGTACAAAGATTTCGTTGTTTTGACAGCTGATGATTCAACCAAGACTTATTTTTTGTTGCTAAACAAATGATTTTAGCTGATTGTGAACAGGTTTTTCGAAATCCTCGTGTTGTGTAACTATGTATGTTATTCGGTGCAAGTTTGTAGGTTGATCGGTAACTTTGTTACGTATTCCGTCGAAGCACGCCTAATTAGAATTTTGCATTGACAGAGGAGGTGAATGTCAGCACAATATCTCCAATTGGACCAGACGAATTGCCTCCTCCGTATCTGCAGCAAGGGACGCCCATGGTGACATGCCGAGTATGTCAGGCTATGATAGACATCTCCGGGAAGAAAGAACAACATGTAGTTAAATGCTCTGATTGTAACGAAGCTACGGTAAGCCAAACTACATTAAAGTCAGCCTGATTAACACAAATGAAGCTCAATTTGATACATCTATAAATAAAAATTGTAAACATATTGTGGACATCTTTGTTATCTTTACTAATTGAGACCACGCTGATAAGTTTGTAGAAACAATATTCTTGAGATTAAATTATACTGAAGAAAGTTCCTTTACAATGTTAATACGGTATCTTAAGTTAATTTTAGTGAAGATATTTGTAAAGTTTGCACCAATTAATATTATATTTTTGTTTGTTTACAGCCTATAAGGAATGCTCCCCCAGGGAAAAAATATGTTCGTTGTCCATGTAATTGCCTGCTAATTTGCAAGTCTTCTTCTCAACGAATTGCATGCCCTCGACCAGACTGCAAGAGGATTATCAACCTTGCGCCATCGCCTGTAACACCACCAGTACCGACCTTGCCTGGCATGTGCAGAGTCATCTGTGCTCACTGCCAAGACACTTTTCTGGTGAGTCCTAGCATTATTACTTAATAATTCATTTAAAATTTTAGATATGCCTATGTCAAGACAGCTTGGCATAGACCACCTGCTCTTTAATAATAAAAAGACACTCAATACATCTGATTATAGTCTGGCAACTGATTGCAAAACAAAAAAAAAGATATTTCTATGCATTTTGTGTCATTTTCAACTGTTTTCCCATTGTGTAAATTATTTGTGTCATCAATACCATGTAGGTATAATTAATCAGTAATCATTGGGGGAGGTATATGTTCAGCAGTGGACATTTACTGTGTCACTCAATTATAATTTTGAATTTTGTTTCCTTATTAGCTAAGAAAAAATATTGAGTAATTTCATAATACAACTTATTGATAATGATACAATGTTGTTCAATTAAATAAAGTATAACTGTAGTTTTATCTTTACCCTATCAACTTGTACCTTTATATATCTACCATAAATTTAAGCCTATATATTAATCTGGGTTACAAACAATAATACTGTAAAGTTTCAACAAAATCCGTTCAGTAGTTTTTGCATGAAAAAATATGTCAGTGATTAAATAGGCAACATACCTACATTGATTTTTATAACATAAAATGTGAATGTAAGATATATTTAACCATAGCTTTAAAGTAATACCTTCTAAAATCTATTCTCATTAAACTGGACATTTATGGTAATTCTATTCAGCACAAAACCTGACTGTCGAATTTAGATGTGTTAATTCTTAAGATGAGGGCTTTGCATTACTTTAGAAAACTGGTTTGTAGAGCTGACTTTGCCATAATAGCCCTTTAGGAGACATGTAAAGTGCCCCATAAGGGCTACCTTTCTTTTTTTATTATTTTCTATTGACGTTCATAAGTGCCACTTGTGGTCTAAACTGAATAAATATTGTTGATTTTGATTTGTTCTGAACTACATTTTTTATTTTCTTCACAAAACAAGTTTCAGTCATTATTAGGAATTCATTTTTCACGACAGATAGGAATTCAATTATAAAAGCTGTTGAAACATTGTTAAACAAATAATGTAATGCTATCTTTCCTGAACACTATAATCCGGGCCTTTTCAAGGTGAGAGTGAATATGCACTTACAGGGCTGATATGTACCATCCTAGACTGCATCTTCTCACTTAACACCAGGTGTGATTGTGAACAAATACCCGCCTTGCATGTATAAAAAAAAGTAAACAATAAATTATTATCTCATAATTAAGTGTGCCTCTTAATGCTTGGCGAGAATGATCACGCGGGCGCGGGGTGGGCGCTACGCATTGTACTCAAACATGAAATCTTATTCGCGTGTCCAATGTCCATAGTGACCCGCGTGTGCAGCCAGGCCAAGTACTTAGTCATTCCATAACCGCCACCAACATTTTTTCTTATCCACAACAAGGAAGCTCTTGGCCTGTATCTCACCTGATGATAAGTGACGATCAGGCCGAAGGTGGAAGCGAGCTTCACCCGGAATCCTCAACCACGGAGGAAATGGCTATCTTACCTCTAACTGCCGTTTAACTATGTATTTCCTACCTACTGCCTACTTAATAAACTCTTTGCTATAAGCACTGTTTAAAATTTTCAGTATCAGCTGCTGAAGAACGCACCGGTGCGGTGCCCGCACTGCCGCAAGGTGTCGTCGGTGGGGTCGCGGGTGGCGCGCGTCAAGGGCACAATATTCGCGGTGCTCGCGCTCATCTTCCTCGCCATCGCCATCGGCGTCACGCTCGGGACGCTCTCGGCCGCCAAGTCGCACGGCGGCGGCGTCTACGTCGCCTACGTCGGAGCGTTCCTCGTCGCATTCCTCCTCGGCAGCCGCGCCGTCTACTACTTCGCGATGAAAGTGAGTACGATCGAGGGCCCCATGTAAACTATTACCGACATAGTTTGTGATAAAATTTGTATGACTAGAAAATATAAAAGGTTTCTCGATTCCATATTGTAACCAGCGTTATTATGTAGTTTGGTTTTATACTGTATTAATGTATAATTTAACCAATGCAGTGACGGGCGGTGAGTTAATATTTCAAATATTATTATTATAGGAATGTATTGATCGACAGCCACTACGATAGAATATATTCATAGCTTCTAAGTTGTTGACTTGATCACCTAAATTCAGCAAAGTTATCATTGTCGGTTACTGTATATCTGGTTCATGGATCTTAATTTATATATTTTTAAATGCCATGACACAATAATTTATGAGTGTCGCTTATCGTGCATGGTGATCGTATTTTAATGCGTTAATTACAATACCACATACTATCAAGCAATCACAAATCATGTATGTTGTTGACATAGGCAGCAATAAATTTTCAATAGATTTTCTAGGACAATAATTTATCTGCTTTACAGGCAGTGAATAATATAATATAGCCATTATATGACTTTAGGTGCGAGATTATAGCCGATTGCAGACCATAACTGCAGGCCTCTTTTATGTATTCTAATTCCGAAATTGAATAAAAAGAAGTAAAAGAATATTGCATTAGATAAGACAACGCAAAACAAAAATAGACTATAAAACACGAATAAACGAATACATATTATGTCGATGACTGTGTGTATGAATTCTTTAATAGATAATACTAATGTTGATAATTTTCCATTCATACGAAATTACTAATATCGCGGTATATTAACATCAGTGGCCATTGAGGTCAGTCCGCGCAGTTGTAAGGATTTAAAGACAGCTATGGGTGATTGTAGTCTACATACGGTTTTCAATTCACACCTCAATTTCAATTAACGATGATAAACATTTGAAAAAAATCTCTAGTGTATCCATTTTAAGCTCTACAAAATCGTATAGTTTGTTGTTTGATTGGTTGATTAGAGTGTGAATATTGAAAAAATCACCAATTTATATTAAAAGTTTGTTTGAATTATAGTAATATTATTATTAATACTTACCATAATTTAGCTAAATTTAAACATGTTGCATCAATTGTTACACTCATATGCGATCTCATTGCTAATTAATAAAATATGGAGAGTTAAAATATAGAATCAAAAAACGCTATTATTAACGACCTCAGTCGCGAAAATTTGGTCGCTCTGAGTGATATAGAGATGGTGTGATATGAATGATGGGTTTCCTTCGTTACATACTGCGCTAGCTAGGTCAAATTAATTAAAATAACCAAGCATAGTGAATTGGAGGATTATACGAATCATTAAAATACTCCTGCACCGTTTTCGACTATAGTATAATATTGTGTTATAGTATAATATTATTAGCAATGAGATTATTAAATAAATTGAAAGGTATTTCTTGTGATTGTGTGCTTATACATGTAATTCGATTATTTATTTCAGTACCTCTAGCATGAACAACTTTCGTCTTCGAATCGTTTGCGTACTGGATAAAATTCGATACTCAATCTTCGAATTAAACGATAAAGTGACAATTTTCATTCTCAAAATAAGTTTTGTGCAACCACATCTCATACTAAGTTCACTTTACGACACGTTCACAAGGGCGCTGTTGTAGTTTTCATACTAAATCTTTTGATGGCGTTTCGAGTACGCAAACTATTTGAACTCGAAAGTTTTTCGTGCTAGCCGTTTAAACCATTGGGCGGTGTTAAATGAAATTACCAATCCAATTACTCTATTTTGTATTTTGTGACATGAAAATAAGTTCTGAATTGCTATGACATCTGTTGAGTTCTCTCACATTTATTTGTCATTCATCCTTCACCAAACACGACAATCATTAAAGTGAACGCACTCGAACCTGCACTGAATGAACCGAAAGAATTAGCCAATTACCGATGTGACGTGTGAGCGTGAGCCTTGGTCCAAGGCGTGAGCCTGTTGCGGTGAAGTGTGCGTTTACCTTTAGATAGGTTCATATTAACGCATTCACAAATAGCATGGAAGAAAGACTGACTCTTGACGGATTTATACGCATGCACGTTTTCAAAACGATTATACATTGAATATATTATTTTCCTGTATATTCAAATCATGTCCTTTTGCTTTTGTATTATTGTTAACAATTATAAACATTTCGAAACATTGATGATAGTGTATGCAGTTATTTAATGTTAATTATTTTACGATATAAATAACAATTCATTTTGCATGCATTATTCGACTTGGTTTTTTAATAGAGCCCTCATTTTAACTTTACTTACTGTTAATAAAATTGTATTTAATCTACTGTAAAGACGATACGAATAGTTTTTTTAATAGGTACACACAACAACACATGAAACGTTACACGTTGATCTTATTAGCACCCAAATTACTAAAAAATAATAATACATTGGCATGGTAACTGTTACGATTGTTGTGTCGTCGAGTGTACATTATTATATTCATATTTGACTACGAATATTTAGTCAAAAAGTAGATTACTACCTTGCTTGCTACTCTGCCTACCTAGCTCCATGCTGGGTCTTGTTATATTTGTTATTATTTTATCGAAATGGCTAGCCTTACCTCCTTGTAATCTTATACGATTACAATAAAAATGCAGGAACAGTGTTTAATGATGTTCTCGTCGTTTTACGTTATTAGGTATGTAACATAAAAAGCGTATTCAGAATGAAAGCTCCTTCCTGTGAATTTCTACTTTGCCAATCACCACATAAAGTTGTAAGCCAAAACACGCTGGTACAGTAAGTGTCCGCTAGCGGATCTTCGAGAAGCGTACATAGTAACTCGAACATTACAAAAATTCCCATAAGGCTCTAGATTCCGCCTCAGTGTGTTATAAGCTTAAGATACTTTACAGACGCGCTATGCTAACGGACGAGCTATGCCTCGGATACTTGTATAATCTGAACCTTTTTAGCTGATCTTGATTGTGACCGCGATCAAACCTTTTTGGAGTTTTAGAAAATCTTGCAGTTATTTGCTTTTTATCAACCTAAACAAGACTCGAAGAGATTTTACCGCGGTCATAATGTAAAGCATCGACCGCTTACAGGCCATTATGAAAATATACATCTTGATTATTGGACTGGTAAGGCTAGCAGACTTTTATTTGTTTTTGATGTGATATTATGCTTTATTCTTATAGTCAAACTATAAATTCAAACATTCTGTGGATTAAGACTTAGAATTATTTGAGCATTCTGTTTTTATATAAAAATTTAAGTAGGATTTTCTGTATTACCATTATTTTCATAAAATGTTAGGGCTTTAACCATGTATTTTTAGTTTTAAGTTAAATAAATGGTACCTATTGAAATGATTTTCGTATTTTTTTATAAAAATACTGGGTGGGAAAAATATAGCATAATATTAGAAATAAAAACTGGAAGTAAAATATGTTTATTTCGATAAAATAACAAAATACATTTTAGGTGTAACACCTAGTGGTTATCTTATTATCATGTTTACAAGAACCATTCAAGTAATAAATAAAGCACAAACCTCAACAATATGTGAGTGTGATATTACATTAAAATAAACTTACAACATACGTATTTTATATGTATTTACTAAAATGCTTATGTACAAAAAATACTAAAACAACCTTTTGAAAAAAACACATCACATATTTATGAAGTCGTAGCTGCATCATTTTATACAAATTTTGTGTAGTATCTCCAATTTGTACTTTTTGATTCCTTACAAGTTTTGGACTTAAATATTTGAATTCATGATCATATTATAAAGGGTAAATACTTGAAAATTTTAAATACCTTTTAGTGATACCAACATAGATAATTACCAGCTTACTTAGGACTAGAAAACAAATATATTTCAAGAATCTTATGAGTGCTTATCTAAGTGTAAGTTACTACATATTATTTGAATAAAAATAAATCCTAGTTAAGGATGTGAAGGAATGCACAACATACAAAGCTGTATTGGTTTGCTAAATGAGTATTTCTCAAAAAAAATGTACATTTTGAAAAAAAAAGTGTGCTTTGAAACAGTTCAAAAGTTTTATATTTATAAATCATCCCACAAAAAAAACACACACACAATTTTGAAGGATGAATACTAATCTTTAAGATAACGAAGAATTATAGCTATAATCCTACTTATTACCAAATATTTAAGTATTTTAAAAATAGTCCTTTTTTACCTTTCATACAAAAACCTGTTTGCCACCCTAGCTTTTTCATGTATTTTTGTTTCATAAAATGCGATACGTAACTAAATTATTATAATTTTTTTTTGTATTATNTTTCTCTTAGTAGTTTTGCAGTGTTGTTTTATAAAATAACAACGGACAACACATTATTTCCTATGTTAAAACTTCTATTACTTGATTGTTTTGTTTCTTTTCTTTGGAAATACCAAATTTATTCAATCGGATATATTTATTATTGAATTATATGTATTATTAACCGTTAATTAAATTTTAAAAAGTTTGCGGAAATCCTTATCGATTTATACAGGTATAGAATTTTTGATAAATGGTCGACTACATTATTCCCGTTTTTGCACTTCTAAACGAGATCTTTGTTCAACTATAGAATGATTTTCTAAATTATTCAATCACGTAAATGTAAATTTAGAAAAAAGTTACATTATAAAAGAGGTAAAACATGCGAGTTATAAATATTGTGCAATATCAGTCACTCAAACGGTAGGTACTTAGTTTCTTTGTTTGAGAACTTATTTTTTAGTATTTGTTAGATTGTAGTTAGGCGTAATTTATATTGGTCTATGTGTGCGTAAATATTAGGTAAAACAGGGAGCATTAACAGTGCCCCAAAATTTTCTGAAGTAACATAGTGTAATGTAATAGATATTAAGAAAGCTATTGAATCGAATTATTGGAATGCTAGAGGATGAGGAATGCCACTCAATAATGGCACTGAATGAAACTCTTCCACAATCTAATTTATGCACTTATACAAATGGTCGTATTTTTCGCGCGTACTTTTAATTTGAAATGGACGCCAATTCTTGCCACACACAGGTCGAATCAAATCGTTTGTGTTTGACAATCAATTATTGGGAACTACATACGTGGTTACGAATACCTTGTAGCCGCTTTATAGAATGATGTAGTTTTGTTTAGTGAGTTTTGTCGTACGTGTCCTTGTGCTGGTACCCGGACACGTAGCCGGATCCGTCGACGAGGTCCTTTCTGCCGGCGATGCCCTTGCCTTTGCCGGTTTCATCGAAGCGCTGCCTGTGGGAGCCGGTGTACTTGGTGGTGTCTGTAAGTCGGTCCACCGCTGCTGCGGCGGCTTGGGATTTTGTCACCTGTATAGGTAGCATTGATTAAAAGTAAGTTAAATAATCTTTTTGATAAAGTTACCTACATACATTCGCTATTCGAAACGTTAACCTATGTTTGGGGTAACTTTTGCTCACATCTCATGCATTAATTATAAAGATAAAATTTCTTTCAGTACAGCGGAATGACCTAGCAGTTGCTATGTTGCGAAACTTCCATGCAGTAGGCATCAGAAGGGGACAACAGAAACTAGTGTTGCAGAAGAAATAAAAGAACCGGTACAAGGAATACCGTACAAAAGCTGAGTTGAACATTGACTTACATGAGATGTTATTCCTGGCTGTCCACAAGTGGTGAGTTTCTTTTTTATGTCTTCAACCTCGACCTTTTTACTCTTGGCCAATTCCTCGAGGAATTTCTGGTAATCTTCAAGCCCAACTTTGAGCGATTTAAGTTTCTTGAAGTTTATGGCGGTGTCTGTGGTGGTAATCTTCTTGCCGTCGATCACCTTGGCTTGCTTCATCCACTTGTCACTTTGTGATAAAGTGATGTGCTTCCCATCAGATTTTGGATCGCCGAACTTAGAAAAGGCTTTGAACGCATCCTGCAAGAACAGAAATACGAATACGTTACTAACATTGAATGGTTAGTTCGTAAGATATTTTTCATACCTCCTAAATATTCTATGTTTTAAACTGCGATCGTACAGAACTAGCTTATTGAACCAACACAACTAAAACTATGACGTGGGCCGCTTTCGCGTTGTTACAAGGGTGCCTATACATATATTTCTCCACCCTTTCAGGCGTGTTAGGTGCTACATTAGCATAATAAATGGCAAAAGTGAAAAAGCGTTTCAAGGACTCGCTAGAGGCTTTGTTTAGCGTACTTTGGTAGATGTTTAACAAACATTAGTTTGTTGAATAACTTATAACAACTTTTTATTTTTATTTAATATATTAAATGCTTAAACATTAAACTAAATTAATTACTTCAGTAATTCATTGAAATAAGTATACAGTTACAGACACTGGTTTTTCGGCAGCACACGCACGAAACTTATTTCAAAACATTTTTTTTTTAAATTGACCCTCTGAATTCGAACCTGTAGATAAGGAATGGTGAATAGTCTGCCCCTTTTTTATCATCAAGTGAAAATTGATACAATAAGTGAGGTATCTCTGTAACGGATATAAGAATAAAGCCATTAAGTAGTCGCAGGCGGGTAATCTTAAAGATTGCTTAGGTATTTGATTCCATGTATCTGATTTCATAACCGCCATAGATGGAATGTAAAGCCCACATGAGTACCTATATGGATACTAATAACATTGTCTCCCCTCGAGGTATTAGTCCTAGTTAGCGCCGCAACTGAAGTTTCCTTATTAGTATGCAAACGTGCAACGTGCATTGTTCGTTCCTTTTCAGAAATAATTTTGTTGAGCAATTTTTTTCTATCTCCGACGTGTATGTACAATACGGTCTCGGGATACTCTTACAGCCTGGCATCAGAAGGTCCATAGACGTCGGATTTATACCGCCGTGACCCATGGCCGTGACCTAGCATACCCAGACACCAATTGGATTTGAAATAATTTTCGTATTTACATTTATTTTGTATTCAAAGAATTTGAATCAGCCGTCCGACACCGACACCGCCTTATCACCTTAAAATTTATTCTTCTTTTATTCGCTACTAGCTTTCCTACCGCGGCTTCGCCTGCGTGGAATTTTGTCTGTCACAGATAATATTTTTATCGCGCGCGATCCTGTTTCATATACCGAGATAAAAACTATCCTATGTCCTTTCCCAGGACTCAAACAATCTCTATGCCAAATTTCATCAAAATCGGTTCAGTGGTTTAGGCGTGAAAGCAAGACAGACAGACAGACAGTTACTTTCGCATTTATAATATTAGTCTGTGCCCCGCGGTGTTACCCGCGGTAAAATGTAGCCTATGTGTTAATCCAGGGTGTCAGCTAACTCCATACCAAATTTTATAAAATCGCTCCAGCCGTTTAGATGTGAAGAAGTAACAAATATACACACTTATAAACTTTCGATTTTATGTGTGTGTGATTCATTGTTTTACATTGTTTGAGAATTACCTATTGTGGTACGTAATTTGGTTATACGATACATTATAGAGTGCATACCTTAAGCGGCACGGCATTGTCTTCGTTCTTGGCGGGCGTTCCGTTGGCCGACGCGGGCGCCGAACCGTTCCCGTTCTCCAGCGAGACGTCCTTCACGTCGCGCGTCACCTGCTCCACGGAGTCCTGCGCCTGCGCTAATTCTTCCGACATCTTTGCGTTTTCTGAAATCTAAAATACGTGACTATGAGCAGATATCCTCCAGATTGGGGCATTCTCTTGTTTGTTAAACATTGGAGTCTCATAACTTGCTTTTCCCTGTTGCTTAAGATTACGTAGGTTACTAGTATAAGTCAATTTTCACTTAAATTTCCTACAGGACATCATATCATCATGTTTATTGTGAAATTTGTCGCTGTGAAATTGTGTTTTGCCCATTCGTTGAAAATGATATGTGAATGAAAGGCTCTGGCTGAATTTCAAAACTAACGAACCTGAATCATACAGTAGGATAGGTAACAAATAGTCCACTTAAAGCACGTAATTTAAAAATATGCATGTAACGAATAAAATTGGTATGGCCTTACTCTCATGAAATCAAATACATGAGCTACTTAAAGCTGCCTACTTGCTCATTTTAAGCGGCCATCTAGTTGGCTATTTCGTCCATTCGTCCCGGAAATAATATTAGGTGACCTACCTACATAAAAATGTTTGGTCCATTACCAACACCAAGGCAACACGCAAACGATCGGGACGGGCGTGATGTCATACAAAAATAACCAAACATACTATCTAGTATCGAAGCTATAGCGGCTGTTTGGTGCTAAATGTGGCAATTACATCATCGACCTTGCGAACGAAACGTTTTGCAGCAAACTTGTAAACATCAGCTGAGATTCTTGTCAGTTCTATAGAAACGCAAAGATTTGCTTAGCGAACTCAATAAGTAGGTAAGACTCCTTCAATTCATGACTGATTGAAATGTTCGAAGTTTACGACTTACAAAATACTTTGATGGATTTTAAAACAGGAGGCTCATCCCTTAAGGCTTTATGACAAAAGTTTTACTACTGGCTTTCAATTTGTATAATAGACAAGTAACTTACAATTGAATAACTTTTAAACAACCTAAGTAACTTACTTATAAGTAGGTACTTGTACAAACTTATTGCCTGTAAGTTAATTCTAATGCGTTAATTATAACTAACATAAGCCTTTTACCCACAGTAAACAACCAATACAAAGACCAATCCTATTAACGAAATAGCATAATGCACATCATGTCACCATAAATCCTCTTAGATAATATGCTAGAAGCAAATTCATTTATCAACCACTTAAGCGCATGTGGGGGCTGTAACAATGCACTATTAAACACCTCCGCGATCTAAAACTGTGGGTGCCCTGACTATTAGCCGGGCTAAATGATCTGACCTATACAGATCAAGGTAGGAAGCGACGGAGGTCCTGGAGCCAATCATTACCACGACCACTGGCCAACCAATCTTGAGATCTTTAAATTATAATATTCATGAGCTCTACACTCTATCGTATCGTACTTATCTATACCGGTCCCGCATTTTTGATCGTTTGTCTTTTGATTTATGTGAAAAAGAACCTATGAAATACTAATAATAACCTGTAGTAACTCCTATACTCAGTTCATGTACTTATTTTTAGATTACTTTTGGTATTTACGTTTTGTTATGGAACAATTGGCAGACATTATTTCTATGCATGTTTATACAAGTCATTTGTCTAGTCTAGAAGGTTACTGAAATGAAAATTATGTCCTTGGTTGTTGTTACAATAAGTCGCACTGCGACTGTTATTCTTTGCAATGAACAATGAATGTATTTCATAGATTGAGTATTCTACCTACACATTTTTTTAGAGCTTAACGTAGAGTCAGAAAATTGATTACTTTTATTAACTCGGGAACTAAACTATCCGGTTTTTCCTTTACTATAAAATTACCACAAAGAACAAAGTCATCCTCATCTTGTTTGTTGAGTGGTCATTACTTTAATTACCTAAGCACACAAATGTTAGTCATAGATATCAATCACCCATCGGTATTGCCAAAAAACTACCTACGAGTGTGTAACGATTTATTATTAACGTAAGATAAAATCTTTGTACGAAAAAATGTTTCCGCAATATACCAATTTAATTGCATGTACCTACTTAAGTATTAAGTAATTTTCTTTGATGTATTTGATACCAGCTCTAAGGTGCTACGTTATCCTGTTACTACGCTTATCGTTTAAATGCACAATCTTCTATTAATTTCCCGTTGTCACAAACTAGTCGCTTCCTGCAAATAGTTACATAGTTGTTTGTTTTGCACCAGCTGGCATACTTATTAAATGACGGCCATATAACGTGTCTCGGTCGATGCCACAGACCTCCCCGACCTAGTTAGTTCCTTGGTGTTGTTTCTACGATAATATAATTAGAACGCAGATATTTTACTACAAGCGAAGTTTTTGCAATATCTGTTTAGATAGTGATTGTGAAGCTTTTGTCTGTGAACTGTAAAATGTGTGTTGCAAATGCAACAATCTAACTCGCAAAATATTGAGGGATTGTTATTATGTTGATTGTTCATTGAGGGATGATTGCTACGAGCTGCTACGAGATTTCAGTGTCGTAGCATAGACTTCAATAAATTGTTTTAGCATTTGCATGTTTTGGGGGTTTAAAATTAAATATTATTAATTTCCTTGGTTTGTTTTATTAATAATGCCTCTGGAAACCCCTTATAGTTTTCTTGAATTAATGATTAGAATATAATTAACTAAACTTTTCTGTGCTATTACTTCGCTCTTAGCCTACTTATGCACCTAGGGTCATTGGCCTCACGTTATAAATATACGTTCTTACACGCATGAACAATCACCTAAATGCTGTACTTTTATTTTCTATGCTTAATTAGTACTGGCATTTATATTTGTAGGTACATAATATTAATTACATAGCTACTTGTGGAAATGTCTAGGCTTCTAGAGAATGTGCTGACCGTTGATAAATAACAAAAGTTACGATAGAACGCGATAGCACAGTGATATATTATTATTAATATCCGTAAGGTTTAACAGTTCCGGACATAATTCAGTACCTAATACTGTAATGGTGATCGCTCGTTGGTACAAGGCTAATTTAGAAATTACTTTATTTATTACTAGCGGCCGCCCGCGACTTCGTACGCGTGGATCCCGTTTTACCCCCTTCATCTATCTTACGCGGTTTCGATTTTTTCATACAAATGTTTTTCCCCGCTAATTCCAGTTCCCGAGGGAATTTTGCAATATCCTGTTGTAACTAAGCTTTAAGTTTACTAAGGTACCTGCATGCCAAATTTCAAGCGTCTAACTTAAGCGGTTTAGATTTTTCATACAAAAGGATTTTCCCGCTAATGCCCGTTCCCGNAAATTACGTTACAAAAAAAGAAAAAAATAGAAAACTTAATTTATTAGTAAGCCAAACTTATTTTAATGAATAGGATAGGAATAGGATAGCGCGTCCGCGTGACCCAGTCGGCAAGTTGACGTCATTCTGCGTCACCATTTATAATGATGACTCACTCTCTTTTTACTAGATCTAACAATAGTAAAAACATATTTTAGTCAAAAAGAAACCCAACAAAAATTCTAATACCTACCTTATTGAACTTAGGTATCCAGGCAATAGCACGTCTAAAGTCACTACTATATTTAGTTGTATTAAACTTATTTAATCAATTTAATTAACAAAATATATGCTCGCTTATGTTTAAATCACTGAATACAATCAAGTTTTTCACAATCAAGTAGCTCGTTGGTAAATATCTCGTAAATAATGTTTTATCATTGTTGGTATTACCTCATTCTTAAAATATCAATATCATCTACTGATACGGGTGTTTTAATGCACTTGGGCAGACCATTTATGTTTGATAAGTGTAAATATTTTTTTTTCTGTTTTAATATTTTGTAAAATAGTGATGAATATTATTTAATATCAGGGATACCTAACTAGCACAACAAAAATAATACGCTAACCGTGATAATATTGACGGCTCTACGTAAACATTATTATGTATACCAGTCAAGTGATGTGTCATCATAATAGGCTGTAAGAATAAAAGTTAAGCAGGTACTTATCAGATATGGACATCCACCTTTATTTAACTGTACGTGCAAAGCATTACAATCCGAAATTAATCAATGTCTGAGTGATGTCAGAGACGGCGAATAATATTGCTTAACAATATAAGCTTAGCAATATATTGCTTAATACCATTTGAAACTATTTCCTATAAACTTAACATCACCTAAAGGTACACGAGACCATTATACCTAAATAAATATTTTTGTAGATAAGTAGTCGCTCATTAAGTAGTTATCTATTTCAGTTTTAATTGGAGTTGAAAGTGGCACCTCTTAATATAAATAAACCTACAAAAAATTACACTTTAAGCACTGAAAAGTCTAAAATGAGTGAGCTCTACACATTAAAACCTGCTAATTTAATTGTATAGTGTATCAAATAAAATAGGTATGCCATCAGATTAATAGCGTCAAAAGTTGGTTTTGGTTATTGGTTCCATAACGTGTCTGTTGTGAAAAGATACTTGATGGAGTAGCTATTAACTTCAAGTAAGTAAGTACTTATACATACTTATATTAAAACAGCTACTACATAACTTAGTAATATGTATTTACCAAATCGATAAGCGAAAGGTTTAAAAACTGGATGTGTTGCTCTACAAATGGGGGGAAATCGGGAAAGTGTGTAGCGTGCGAAAAACTAGACACAAACGTGAACGGCCTTGCAAGTTTCTATAATCGAGTTTATAGCTATAACCTCTAGACTAGGCATACAAACTTTCCCTGTCGCTTACGACATTCACACAGATGCATGAATGTATTAAGTAAACACCGTAACAATTAAAATTTAATTCATTGTCAATATGAGTATTATTCGTATTGCTCGATATAACTCTTCAATGGATCAAATTTTTCCAAGTGAAAATGATTATAATTGTGTCTAGTTTTCCACCGTGGCACAAAGGTGTCTCAACCTCGGACGTAACTTAACTTCAACTAAGTACTTAACATGTTCACAAAACAAAATAAATATAAAATGATATTTTCATACGAATAATCCCGCTTTAAAAAATATAGGGAAAATCTAATAAAAAGAATTACGGTACCTATTCTTAGAGTTTGCATTATTTTGGGACTTTGAAATTTTATTGTCGTCAATGATGGCTGTTCACCGATATAATTTATGTGCTAACTTGTAAACTTAGCACGTCTCGTATCGGAGCAGACGTGCAAATGAATTCAATTAAAGAAACCAATACTTAATTAGTTTTGTTTTAATTTAAATGAAGTCAAGAAGGTAGGTAGAGTACGTACGAGTATACGAGTAATACTTACTTAACTGAAGGTATAATGACAATAATTGTGAGTATGTAGTACCTAAGTATTAAATCAATCCAACTAATTTCGTCAAGAGCAATAGATACTCTTAAATGTCATTTAAATTGAACCTATACGTAGACTAAAGATTTAATTATGCAAATCAAATGACACACTGTCAGAGAGCTATAGACATCAACTACTGTAAAATAAGAACTGAAATAACAAAATTGTGACACAATACCGCTGCGAAACTTAACTTTGCAGGATTAAGATACTACTTACTACTTATAGGATAGAGTTAGGTTCGTTAGTATCGGTAGTTAATAGTTACGCATAGTTAGATCAATTTTTTCTACTAGTCTTTTACTATGGGGGCTAATCTTTCCGCATGATTTCACATACGAGACCTACTACCTTTTGTGTATTTTTACTTATACGTGACGAAACCAAGGTTAATGCAACAGCTTTGATCGGATTATATCAGTAATTGCTCGTCCAAATTTGAGTGCGGCGATACTTCAGATAAGGCTTATCGTCAGGAAACCACATATTGTTTATAATCGCTTACACCGTGTCACTTACGAGTATTAATAAAATTATGCACTGATTATTAAAAACTACTTTTTGTTTTCGTAATTAAATTGAATTATTATATTAGAACTATCCAAATAGTGAGTAACTAATTATTAGTTATCAGTTTCACAGTCCTGAAAAACTTCGCAAACAGTGCAATTAAGCGTACGGAAATATGGGTTAATAGCAATATAAATAGTCAAACCCATGAAAACTGTTTTATATCCCCACGAGAAACGATTCGTTTAATATTGTGTTACAAGGGGGAGTGTCGAGACATCCATGGGGGTGGCTCTACTACACCCTCTACTGTCCAAATTCTTTGTTTGAGGCAAGCGAATTTGAGCACCAAATGGGAATTTCGATTCCACTCAATTTTATGCGTTGATAAACTTGTTTTATCTTCGCTTGTTTATGTAAGTTTCATAAATCACAAGTGCGAATAACTGGTTATAATATTTAGACAAAACAAAATTCGCCAGATAAATCTGTGTCTATTTTTAACCCGAAAATGGCGGGTCATTCTTCGTGACCCTCCGTCGGGGGTGGTTCAGTACGAGAGGATATGAATGCAAATATTGACTTACTCTGTGCAGTTAATGAGATGTGTTGTATGAGATCACATTCAACGTGTGCGGGACGTTTGTGGCGGCGGCGCGCGTGATCGCGGTTGCACTAGCACTGGCGGGTGGCGCGAAACGCCGCGGATATTGTTGACAAGCAGAGATGCGCCGCGCGGTTCGCCCAGCCCGACAACGACGCATGCGTCGCAATCCTCAGTCTTCCGGCTATACTATGGGGCTTCTAATTAAGTGCTTAGCTAGCTGCTTGTAATATGCAGCATTAAAATCCTTAAAACAGATTACTTCTTGATTAAAACAAACCGTACCTCCCTACTCAGATTAAGTATGAACTGAAAAAAAGGTTTAATGAAATTAAAAATTCCGAATCTGCCCCTATAGTGCAGGCATGAAACTGCCCTAATAGCAGAAAAAACTTACAATCAATGGCTTTTTGAGAACTTTGGCAACGATTATAGTGCTAAATGGTACCTACTAGAATATTAGTGTCTACTGAAGATTAGCTCTACTAATAAATAAGAAGAGAATAATGTAGTTTTCTTTTTTTAAACCACGGTACCTAGGTTCCCGTCTGGACGAGATCGCTTCATAGCAATAAGTTCGCCTAAATTGTGCAGTCTCTTTTGTGTACATTATTTATTCCTTCTCTTGGGTCTTACTGCTATTATTTTGTTGTAAACAAAAATAGCATAAGTTTTATTGTTGACATAAAGACATAACAAGGTCACCTCCCTACAAGGACCTAAGATATGTACAATATTGTGTTCTACCAACCCTAACAAGGTGGTAGGCACCTATGTATAATAATAATCATTAAAACGTCCAGAATAAAAATAATATATCTATTTATTACGCTCGTTAGTTCCAGCCATTGATGCGTGAACAATTTTTTACTATAATGCTGTTGGTAACCGTTTCACATCCTGTGTCCCATCCCATAGCAACCCACATGAAAACACCCATTGAATCGTGCTCTTATTCTTGAGTAGATAACTCGCGCAGCTCTATACAGTTGACCCGCTTTTGATATTCAATGATGAATGGGATGTTCTAATTTCAGCTGCAGCATAAAATTATTAGACAGTGAAAGCACAAATAGAATTCGAAATACCGTGTCATGCTTTTGTAGCGATCATGCTTGCTATAGTGCTGAGTGAAGTATAATGTAACTGTGGCTACTGTAGGGTCTGTAGGAAAACTCATGATTAAACTATTATGAGGTTATCCTTTAGGTACGTATGAATTTAATAATGGTTCTCTCTTGGTTCATAATGCGTTACAATTATTTAACAATGTATGTACCTATACCAAATTAATAGATGGACTTCGTTGAGCATTCCTTGCATTTTATGAAAAAATCTTTCGTAAGTACTAAAACATTCAACGAATAAAAATAAATAATATAAAATTTGAATTCAAATTCTGTCAAAAATCACAGAAAAAACGTCCAGATAATTTTCTTTTATTGCTACGATTTATTGGTCACTAAGGCCTTTATAATGAACCACTACTAACATATCAGACATATTCATATCAGCTAATGAGCTAAGGATATTATTAATTAAACAGCAAAATAAAATTCTTACAAAATTATATATTCCGTAAAAAACAATTAATTCAACGGCAACAGCGTCAACAGCATTGATATATTAAATGTACCTACATAAAAAGCTCGTATCTAAATAAATGAATATTACTGTTGAGTATTAACTAATCCATTTTAATAAGCACACTACGTCAACTACCAGTTGTTAAATACATAGGTTTGTATTTATTGTAATATATTAAGTAATTCGTTATTTAAAATATATGGAAACAAAAATAATCACTGAGAACAAAATAAGGCACTCCACAGACAGGAGTCGCCGACTTTATTGTGGTGAAACTTTAGAATCTAAAGTTCCAAACTCTACCAAATTTTTAATGACTTGTGTGGAGTGCATAACACATTATTTATTACAAAAGTAACTGTTTAAAATGGCACATGGCCCACGATCACAGCAAATAGTATGTATAACAATAACCAAACTTAATACTTAAAATACTTTTACGTAAAAAGCTTAAGCTTATCACATGGTTAGAATTGACCTATTGATTTGCACTAAACAGAATTGCTATTTAAATGTACTATGAAGGTATTAGGGAGAGCAGATCTCCAAGCTTGGGTAGGACCACATCAGGTAGAGGTGGTATCTTTTGATTGCGAATGTCATCCAGTTCCTTCTTAGAGGTGACACCAGTGAGTACAAGCAATGTTTGGAACCCACAGCGTACACCCAGCTCAATGTCAGTGTTGCATCTGAAATATTATAATATTTTCTTTAATACAAAAACAAATATAAATCAGTAGGCAGAGAAACTATCAAGTTTCCATAAAAAAATATGTAACTACTATAATATTTTCAAATTATTTTTAGTAATGATTGCATTACCTGTCACCAATCATCAAGGTCCTAGCAGGATCAAGTCCACATGACTCTAGATACTTTCTGACATAAGCATGAGGTTTGCCCAACACAAGTGCCTTTCTCTCTGAACATGTCTCCACTGCCCGCACCAGGGTACCGGTACCAGGCAACACTATTGAGCCAGCCATGGGGAACCTTTCATCAGTGTTTGTGGCAACAAATAGACATTCCTCAGAAGAGAGATAGGAGGCAGCTTTCATGAACTTGGGGTAGCTGACGTGCTCATCAAAACCCACAACCACAGCTCCCACTTCTGGGTCCAGTTCTGATGGCTGCATATTTTTGAAATCTGCTTTCACAGGATCTGGCTGTAATAAAATAAAGAGTTTTATTACTAATAGATTAATAAAAAATCAAACCATATGCCACCAGATGCTTTCTTAACTCTTATTCATAACATATATCATATAATTTTCTTTTATCATAATTGTTTAAAAGATTTACTGATTTAGTAATTGGTATTACACAAATTACTAATATGAGACAAATAACATTTTTAATAATGTTAATCTAATAATTATGTTACAATAATAAGAGGGATACTTACTCCAACACCAAAATTCCGAATGCCAACCGCCTTCAGTTCCTCCCCAATTCCATTTGAACCCAGTATGTAAACCTTTTTTGTGAATCCAATACCTTTTAGATAATGAGCTGCAAGGAAAGCAGTAGACAGAATTTCCTCCTGAAACAATAAATTAATAATGAGCACTTGAGTAACAAATCGAACAAATATATTTTTTTCTCTAATTAATTTAATATTTATAAAAAAAATACCTGGCTAGCAATGAAGCCCAATTCCTGAGCTTTAGCAGCAAACTCACTGCGAGTTTTCGTGGAATTATTTGTCACATAAAATATTTTCTTCCCCAATTTCCGAAAATAGTTCATAGCATCTGCTGATCCAGGAATGGCATTTTTATCGATCCATAGCACCCCTGTAATAAGAAAATTGTATTGTTAATGATGAAATCAAATTCAATTACTTGAATCATGGTCTGGCATTGAGCCATTGCATATTTAAATAATTTCAAAATGAGTGCACAAACTATTTACATACCATCACAATCAGTTAACACTGTATCAAAAGACTTCAGAAATTCTTGAACTTGATCTTTTGTAGCATCTTGCAGGTTAAATACAGCAGATTTAAACATTTTATTGGACACGCTAAAACTTCTTGATTGACCACACGCTATTGCATTACTGTAAAAAATATTTTTATCAATAGAATACAAAGTTTTCCAGACCCGAAAGTTATTAATACACTTTAACATAACTATTACACTCAGTTACTCATAAAAATTAAATACATAGTAAAGTAAATAAAAATTTACCTGAATGAAATCGTAAACCTAGCTCGGCTGTCACAATTGACATTAAAATGACATTGAAAATTTGATTGAAATGTTCTAGTGATGTGCTCGTGAAATCGATTAATTACATTTTCAAATTATAAAAACTCAAAATACATAGAAATTATTTATTTAAAATAAAATAAATAAGTTTCCGTGAGGCAAAGAGGTTAGCTTCCATTTCCTTGGAACGAAAGATTTTTCAAAAATTATTATTTAATCAATAAAATAGGCAGCAGTATACGAACGGATAAAAATACTGCAAACAGCTAAGAATCAGTCTTTGACATATTATAAAAATTATTTGCAAAATACATTTTATAAAATCCGATTTGTATGAAAATTAAAATAATTAAATTGAAGATATCAATTTTCTGACTTCACCATACCATTTATAATTATGCCCATGTTAACATGGGCTAGTGTCGGCTCTTATACCCATTTACCTAACACCCTGTAAATTAAAAATAATAAGTTGTTTAAATTCATACTTTGCTTTCTTCAAAGCGGCGCAATATACATTTAAAGGCACTGGGTCTCTATCAGAAGGAACTCTAGGGGTGGAATCTCCATTGGCGTGGGTTAACGGGCAAGGAGATAATATCTTGGATGGTTGACAATGGCTAGTTGCCTAAAAAAATTTTTTTAGTCCGTAATGTTTAATATCAAAAAATATTGGACACATATAATTTTATTTGTCAATCTAACAAATAATTACATAGTTATGGTGCGTTGAAGTTTCGCACGACGTCACAACGTGCGGCATTTTTAAGCAAGCGGTGACGTCACGGGCCTCTTCTTATGAACTTTGGGGCGCTATATCTCTTTAAATTTTCATTAGTTTGAAAAAGTGAAAAATACGTGTAAAGTATTTTTTGATAAGTTAACTGACGGACTAATTAAAACTCTTCCTTTTTGACCCAGGCAACATCCCCATTTAACGTTCCACCAAACTCAACACGCTTTCAAAGATAACCTCGCAGCCGCTTGCTCACACTTGACATGACACAACTGATTGACAGTTATCTTTTTCTGCGCATCAGTCGGGTGTTACGTTTAGGAATCACAAACCTTCTGCTCTACAGATTTCTACAGATAACATAATATTAAGATTGGTACTATTAATCATCAATAATAATTTGCAGCATCTGTGTCCGGCGCCGACACATTCATTTGTTAAGAATGAAGAAATGCTTATAAGCAGGAAGGATCTATTTTGCTCTCTTTCGTATCATGATCATTCATGTCTATGATTTTTTTTTTAAATGAAGTTCACAGTATCGATTTATTAATTGCAGTTTCAAATTATCAACAATTCAAATGCCGGTCACGTGTTCACAATATTCTACATCCCTTGCTTGTCACATACTCATTCATACAACATGCGTACCATATTGACCTTTATAGATACAGTGTTAAGAAACAAAATGGCCTCACCCTATTGCGTGCTATCACTGATAACATTGACAAGCAGCTGATAATCTGACATGACATTAGACTATCACGTATCACGTCAAACAGTGACAACAGTGTGGGAGAGTGTGGTGTGTGGTGCTTTATCAACAATTTTAATAATTTATTTTGTACTAACAAATGTTTCCGAATTTTACTTCTTTGTGTACATAAATTTAATAAATAATTTTATACCAAATTATATCAAGTAATGGATATTGAAGATATTATAACCGAGGTATGTGACGGAGGTATCATACTGATACGATACAACAAACCCAAGAAGAAAAATGCACTGAACTTGAACATGTACCGTCGGGTGATAGATATTCTTCAAGAAGCGTCCAGGGATGATAATGTCGGTGTTGTAGTGCTAACGGGCACCGGAGACTTCTACAGCAGTGGCAATGACCTCACAGCGGCATTCAACTATGAAGGAGTTTACGATCTTTATCCCGTATTACGAGACTTCATCAGAGCATTTATTGAATTTCCAAAAATACTTGTAGCAATTGTTAATGGGCCTGCCATTGGCATAGCAGCCACAACCTTACCACTTTGTGATTTAGTATTTGCTTCAGAAAATGTAAGTATTGTTATTGTTAAATGAGCAGTAGGTAAGAGGAAAATGATCTAAAAATCACTGACAGGACAGATCTGAAAAGTGTGCAGTACCTAAGTAGGTATCTAACCATAAATTATGTTTTTTCAGTCTTACTTTTATACTCCATTTACAAAACTGGGTATAGTTGCAGAAGGATGTTCATCATTTACATTTTCAAGGATAATGGGAGAAAGGAAGGTAAAACAACTTTTATAAGTACCTATTAATAAATGTGTAATATAAATATTTTGTTCTTTATGTACTTTTCTTTGTTCTCAGGCACTGGAAATGTTACTATTTAATTACAAAATGCCTGCTATTGAAGCTTTACAATGTGGTTTTGTTAATGAGCTCTACAAACCTGAAGAATTGCAGCACAAAGTTTGGGACAAAATAATTGAAGTGACTAACATGAAAAGAGAATCTTTGATTGAAAGTAAAAAGCTGATAAGGGGTCAAATAAAAGACCATCTGCTAGAGATAAATGATAAAGAGTTAAAAACTGTAAATGATATGCATCCACTTAAAAAAATAGGAAAAAGTAAACTTTGAAAGACATTGTAATAGGGTGTGAATTTTATGAAATACGTCGTATATTATTTCTGAGAGATTAAAAATAAAAATATTTTTATTAAAATAAGGCTTGCTTAATTTTGCTTTAATTAAAGTATGGGCTACTTAAATCTTATTCTTATTCTTATTCTTATTCCAACAACACATCTTTATCATTGCAAAATCCACACATTAGAAATTTGACTTCTATGAACTAAGTAAGTTATACCTAGTAGGTAGGTACGCTAGTAGTAGTAACATACTTACTTGCAACTAAAGTAGGTACTTACGCTCAAAGTCCCTCTTGCCGCTGCGTCCTGACTACAACAATCCCTCAAGCTAATTAAAGTAAAGCAACCCAAACAAATTAAAGTAGAGTAACAGACAATTTTAGTGACCAACAACATGGATCAATCAATTGAGATATTAGTCCATGCCATCTACTTGCAAGTTAAAAGAACTCTCTTAGAACTTATTTTAATTAAGTAACTCTTAAGTACTCGTACCTCATTTACATCTGCTTATGTTTCAATGATACAGTTTAATCTATACTTTTTAGTTTCTAATTTTAATTAAGTACGCATGACCTTCCCGATTAAAAACCGTCAATTACTCTACTGCAATTCATAAGCCCTCGTAAAAATGAACTCCAGAAGCTCAAGCTTTTCATCCATATCTGATTTATTTCGACCCAACAATCCTAAGGGATTGAGGTCTCGAGACCTTAGTAGCACTCGGTTGAGTGTACTGAAAAAGGAGATCCAAACGGACATACATCTTATACCACTAAGTAAGTTCCAGTCTCTACCTTTCGTAAAATCACATTATTTTCGCAAGATTCCGAATCATGGATCATCAATATGATGCAAAACCTTAAATAGGTACATACATATACAGTGGCGTAGCGTAGCTAGGTAACCAAGGCCCTCTGGAGCAAATAAAAATGGGGCATGGGGCCCCACTGCAATCTAAACTGGTTAGATTTTATCTTTATTGACATTAAACTTACTTACTCCTGATACAGCTTTCGAATTTCTCTCTATTTATTTTGAAAATGAGAGAAATTTTCAAAGTTCAGTTCAACTGAGATTTTCTGGACCCGGGGCACTGCCCCGCCTTGCCCCTTAGTAGCTATGCCCCTGGGTACGTATTAATTTCAATCTATTTTTATTTAGAGGATGTTTACGAAATTCTCGGAACTGATCCCGTTCGAGGACTATCAAGTGCAAGGGCTGCTGAACTGTTGATGTACTATGGGCATAACTGCCTTACGCCAGCAACGCAAGACGGATGGCCACGAGTCTTATTTTTGTCTTTATGTACAGGTACATAAAGTTTATTCTTAGGGGGTCGCGAAGTCTTACTAGCTATCACAATTTCAGTGAGAAGGATGGTCTTGCTTGCATGCTTTTTACCTGTCTAGTGTACCTATGGTCCAAGATTAAATGGTCGCTAGAATTTTTCAGCCTGTAAAGGGGTAGCGCTCTACATTAACATCTTAAAAAGATGATGTTTACCAAATACCAATGTCTACTGATGTTGAGCATGCTCGTAATAACTCATTAGACGTTTGTTTTAGGGTTTTCCGTTCTAATATGGTTTGGCGCACTGTTGTGCCTCCTTGCATATCTGATAGAAACGTCTACGAAGGCCAATGCTAGCAAAGACAACTTGTATTTGGGATGTGTGCTCATTGGAGTTGATGTTGTTTGTGGACTCTTCAGTTTTTACCAAAGTTTTAAGAGTACGAAGGTAAGTTTTCGGCTGGAATAAGGCTTTCCCTAACTACTTACACAGACACTCGTTCGTTTCTGATACAATTAGATAGGTACTTATGGAATCTCCCATCGTAGCAATACCTGCCTTTAATGACAATACTAATGAAACATTCACAGATAATGAAAACTTTCAATAGCATGATACCGGAGTATGCATCTTGCGTTCGAAATGGGGTTCTGAACTCCAACACGCTTGTCCGAAATCTTGTGAAAGGCGACATCGTTCATGTGAAGGCTGGAGACGTGGTCCCAGCAGACATCCGCATTATTGATAGCAAAGGGTTCAAAGTAAGTTAACCTATTCCATCAATTCTTGGTAAACAGACAATAATGTACTTAGAGGCTATCGCACATTCTACTCAAGACACACAAAATTACGATAACAAAACTTGTTAATTAAGAACCTCGTATTTAATCTATTCCGCTCACTCTTAGAATACTACTTACATATGCCCAATAGGCATATCAAGTACCTTTCTTTATTACATTGAAAGGTGGATAACTCTTCCTTGACGGGAGAAAGCGTGGCTGTTTCCCGAGGAAACCTGGAAGGAACTGCAAATATACTCGAATCGCCTAACGTAGCATTTTTCTCCACCCTCTGCGTTGAAGGATGGGCTTCAGGTAAAAAGATTTGAATATTTAATTAATACTACTTTGACAAACGATTACCTACCGACATTACACAAGAAATTAAGCATTAACTTTAATGACACCTACTAAACGAACGACGCCTCGCACGGCGCAATTTCATTAGGTAAGCCGTAACGTGTTATCTAAGGAAGGTCACGATGAAACAGACGCAAATAAATATTTAGCATAGGTACCTAAGTACCTACATACATAATATTATCCTTATGTTTGTTTATTTAAGAACTGGCTTTACGCCTGAAATCGTTAAATAAATTACAGCCTGTAAAATTTCATGAAATTCCGTGCAGTAGTTTTTGCGTTAAAGAATAACAAACATCCTTAAAAACTTTCTCGTTTATTATAATAGGTAAGTAAGTATTAGTAATTTAGGTATTGTAAGTATGTAAATAGGTTTTTTATTGGTTTTTCTGGTAGACGGTTTATTCGAAATACCTATCTAAAATGCGAACGAAATGATCATAGGTAGATAGGCGATAGCTAAATAAGGTAAAGTCATTATCATACCCATTTTTATCGATAAAGAATATGAACATTAAGCGCAGATGGCATTATAAGCGTGTTGATGTAAAGTCCATGCTGATAAAGAACACAGTTACAAACACAGTCGACAGTACTTGTTATTAGTATTTCTATTTATTTACTACTATATGTATCTACCTATATTTTGATGTTACAATGTAATAAGCTAGCGTTATAACTTCATAACTTTATAGTCTCCTAATAGCTAAAACAATGCATATCTTTGATCATGTTATCATATTTTGAGTTTCGTTCTGTAATACGCCATTGTAACATGTTAGCTATTATGCTCAAGTCATTATCATAAATGCCTCCTTTAAGTAAAAGTCAATTGGTTTTTAGGCTTCACCTAATTCAAAATTCCAGGTGTCGTTATGTGCTGCGGGGATCTCACAGCCCTAGGTCGCGTCGCGGGACTCGCGGCCCGCCTGCGTCCCGCGCCATCCCCGCTGTCCCGGGAAATATCCCGGTTCATGCGCTACGTGTCAGTGTGGGCTCTGAGCCTAGGAGTATTCATAGCTGCAGCCTCGCTTGCCCTGGGCTACCCGTTTATGCAAACCACGGTATTTGTCATCGGAATGATCGTCGCTAACGTGCCTGAAGGTCAGCAGTTTGAACCTTACTAGACCTTTTGTGTTGTGACAAGCATTCAACAAAAAATATTGAAGTTTTAACTTAAAAACAGACATACTCAAAGCGTAGTGTTCTACTGTTCTCTTGCGTCCCTATAAAATCCTACAAAATATCTGGTGGTCTTCTTGCCCAAGAAATACTTTCATTTATTTGAGTCACTTTAGGCTGGGGTGCACCAACTTACTTTAACTTTAACAAACGTTAAAAATCTGTCAAACTCCACAAAAAACATTGATGGTTATAATTATAATCACGGTTGAAACTCAGCCTTAAATTACTAAACCGTTTAAACTGAATAAGTGGAAAATCACAGAAAACTTTACCTTGAAAGAAATTGCTGCCGTGGGCTATCTAAATTATTCCACATATAAATATGATGTTATGTACTTAGGTCTTCAACCCACAATCACAGCATCGCTTACGCTGACAGCTCAGCACATGATCAAGAAGAACTGCCTCATCAAGAATCTGGAAGCGATCGAGGCTCTGGGCGCGTGCACCACAATTTGCTCTGACAAAACCGGCACGCTCACTGAAAACAAAATGTGTGTTCAACATGTTTGGATGGCCAACAAAACTTATTCCGTGACAGATTCACAATTCCTAAGTAAGCGCAAAAACTTTTTAGTTTTCTAATCTAAAGTTTGGTCCGCATGAAAAAATAATGTTTCCACTTTTTTTACTTAATTCCTAGTCATCTAAGGTATCTTAATGTTTCGCCCCTTTGAATAGGTACATTTGTATTTACATAGCCACTTTAAATAATATCCCCAAAAAAACCTTGCTACGGGATACATACAGTATTTTATTACAAAAGACATCAACGTCATCCTCGATTTTCTTTTAATATNTATTTAGGAACAAGTATGAAAAATCAACACTTAAGTTTAAAAACAAAACAATAACTTTTCTTCCATAAAAACGAAAAAACTAACTGTTTCTACATAATATTCCATCTATTTGGCTCGGATATTGCTTCTGAAACAACAATAAACATAATAACAATGATAGAAATATCAAATCTGTATGAGGGTACAATTGACCCCTGGTACAACTGACCCTGATTATTTATACCTACTACTGCTTCGACCTTTTAAGATTTTTTCATAAGCCTGTTCATAAAGGAATAGATCCGTTGATCCGCGATCCGTACTATGACTCTACGCCGAGGCATCTAAAACAAAACGTTCAAATACTTAGTTACTTACTGAATTAAGCTAAAATGTACATATTCAAAAGGGTTTTAGAAACCTATATTAAAATATTTTAAGTAGGCATTTAGGTACTTATATCACCTTTTTATCAACCTCTACCTACTTATTTAATAAAACACATTAAGTATGTATCTAATTAATGCTTAATGCATGCAACTATGAATGAGCCTAGACTATTATTTCAGTAGGTAGGTATGCCTATAATTGTAAAAATAATAAACACGTGAATGTTTTATAATAACTTATTTTATTATAAGTATAGGTACTTTAAAACCAATTTAAAATATTATGTAGTAAGTATAAAATAAGGTTCCGGGGGTTAATTGTACCACGGGGTTGATTGTACCGCTACAATTGACCCCATGGAGACTGGTACAATTGTTCCAAGTAGGTAGTCAAGAGATCTTCACCTAAAATTCAGTCATTTTCACAGTGAATGCCAATAATTCGCTGTCGATACAAAGTTTAGAGCCCGAATAAACTATTGACAACAATACCTTGGTAACTAATAGCATATTAGGCAACTTATGGGCTCATATATCTGACGTAAAAACTTACAGCGACTGGGCAAAAAACAAAAATCCTTCCTGTGCACCTTCGTTTCTCAGCACAAGCGCCGCCGACTGGTGAGCGGATGGAAACACAAAAAGCGCATATTCTGACGCTATGCACACAAACTAACGTCGCTTGTATGAAGAAATATCGCCGATGGTACTATTGACCCGTGGTACTATTGTACCCGGTCTACCCTATTTCTATTTATTTAAGTATCTGACAAACAGCAGTGGACGTCATTTGGCTGAAACGAACGAATAAGTATCTACCTATATTATGATGTTACAATGTAATAAGCTAGCGTTATAACTTCATAACTTTATAGTCTCCTAATAGCTAAAACAATGCATAAATCTTTGATCATGTTATCATATTTTGAGCTTCGTTCTGTAATACGCCATTGTAACATGTTAGCTATTATGCTCAAGTCATTATCATAAATGCCACCTTTAAGTGAAAGTCAATTGGTTTTTAGGCTTCACCTAATTCAAAATTCCAGGTGTCGTTATGTGCTGCGGGGATCTCACAGCCCTAGGTCGCGTCGCGGGACTCGCGGCCCGCCTGCGTCCCGCGCCGTCCCCGCTGTCCCGGGAAATATCCCGGTTCATGCGCTACGTGTCAGTGTGGGCTCTGAGCCTGGGAGTTTTCATAGCTGCAGCCTCGCTTGCCCTGGGCTACCCGTTTATGCAAACCACGGTATTCGTCATCGGAATGATCGTCGCTAATGTGCCTGAAGGTCAGCAGTTTGAACCTTACTAGACCTTTTGTGTTGTGACAAGCATTCAACAAAAAATATTGAACTTTTAACTTAAAAACAGACATGCTCTGCATGTGTTTTGTTCATACTCAAAGCGTAGTGTTCTACTGTTTTCTTGCGTCCCTATAAAATCCTACAAAATATCTGGTGGTCTTCTTGCCCAAGAAATACTTTCATTTATTTGAGTCACTTAGGCTGGGGTGCACCAACGATCACCACCATCGATGGTTATAATCATAATCACGGTTGAAATAAGGCGGTGCAACTCAGCCTTAAATTACTAAACCATTTAACCTGAATAAGTGGAAATTCACAGAAAATTCTACGTTGAAAGACATCGCTACAGTGGGTGGACTATCTACATTATTCTACATATAGGTACGAGTATGATGTTATGTACAGGTCTTCAACCCACAATCACAGCATCGCTTACGCTGACAGCTCAGCACATGATCAAGAAGAACTGCCTCATCAAGAATCTGGAAGCGATCGAGGCTCTGGGCGCGTGCACCACAATTTGCTCTGACAAAACCGGCACGCTCACTGAAAACAAGATGTGTGTTCAACATGTTTGGATGGCCAACAAAACTTATTCCGTGACAGATTCACAATTCCTAAGTAAGCGCAAAAACTTTTTAGTTTTCTAATCTAAAGTTTGGTCCGCATGAAAAAATAATGTTTCCACTTTTTTTACTTAATTCCTAGTCATCTAAGGTATCTTAATGTTTCGCCCCTTTGAATAGGTACATTTTTATTTACATAGCCACTTTAAATAATATCCCCAAAAAAACCTTGCTACGGGATACATACAGTATTTTATTACAAAAGACATCAACGTCATCCTCGATTTTCTTTTAATAATAAAATAAATTTTGATTTTGATCTATTGAACTTGAATTAATTATGAAGTAAGTAATAATTATAATAGGTAAATGTGCACTCAGAAACCCTGTGTGATGGATGATATTATACCAACTAAGTATCACTCGTATTTCTGAGACACCATTAGGTACCAATTATTATTTCATTTCAGATATCGTGAAAAATAACCAAGGTGGGTCTAATTTGAATAATATTATTGGAATACAGTGATCATGAAACAATCGTAATTTACGTCTCATTTCATTACAATGCTTAATTAGCATTAAAATTGACGTTGTACCTATTCTACTTACGCTAGTATTAGAAACATTCAAATCACATTTTCTTGTAGCGTTTAACGCGTTAAAACTATGTGGTGCTTTATGCAGCACTGCAAAACTCAATATTGAAGGTGTATCAGGCGATGCTTCTGAAACCGCCATTTTAAAGTTTTTGAGCAAGTACGATGACTTGATTGCAATAAGAAATAAGTATCCTAAGGTCGCTGAAATTCCTTTTAACTCAGTGAACAAATATCAAGTAAGTTATTTTTGATACTAGGACATACGTAAGTCTATACCTATCTACTTTTCAAGCATGCACATCAGAATAATTTACAGGTAAGTTAAAAGATATCGCAGGGTTTACTTTGTAGTCTAGTCTCACGTAATTTAATAACTACACGCCATTTCCCCGCAGATTTTCTTATGGTATTACATAATACTTATCTCATTTAACAATTCCGTTTAAAAGAAAACTATTACTGATGTGCTGATATTTTATTTGCAGCTCAGTATACATCTAGATACTAATGTTTCACGGTACATAGTAGTTATGAAAGGCGCACCCGAATGTATTTTCGAACGCTGCACGACTCTAGCTTTAGAAAACAATAATATTAGTTTGACGAAAGAAATCAGAGTGGCCGCTGAAAAGGCCAGCGATGTTCTAGCAAATACGGGTACATAAAAGATTTACTTAAAGTGAAAATAACACTGAAAATTATTCAAACTAAAATGTTTTTAACCAATTTTATGCACTTTTGCCAGGAGAAAGAATTTTAGCTTTCGCCGATTTGTATCTTGACCCCAAGGAATTTCCCTTGAAATATCCATTTGATACTGAAGAAATTAATTTCCCTATGCAAAACCTAAGATTTTTGGGAGTTATGGGACTGATGGATCCACCAAGAGAAGAGGTAACTAGGAGTTACCTACTAACATGACGTTACAAGACGGCCAAGAATCTTCTGTCGTTTTATTTAAAGGTTCACTTGTTTTTATTATACCAAATTTTCCCATTCCAGGTGCGCAATTCAATACAAAGGGTAAGAGAAGCGGGTGTCCGTGTGATGATGGTGACGGGCGACCACCCTTCCACCGCCCGCGCAATCGCATTAGAAGTCGGCATCGCCACTTCACCCAAATGTCGTGTACTAACCGGCTCTGAACTCCGGAATATGACTCCAGACTTGCTTAATTGGACACTTGAGAAGCATTATGAAATAGGTCGAATACCAGCATACATTAATTCTTACAACTTTACCCAGCATTTTCAGCTCATCCTACCTAAGAACAACCTACCTATATAGAGATAGCTTCAGTAGCGTCTGAGTTATTATATTCTGATTTATTCTCTATTTTGTTTTTAATCATAAGTATTTTCGTGCATCTTTTATAGTATTCGCTAGAACATCTCCAACTCAAAAGCTGCAAATTGTGGAAGCGTGCCAACGCGGCGGGGGAGTGGTGGCGGTGACCGGCGACGGCGTTAACGATGCGCCTGCGCTGCGCCGCGCTGACATCGGCATCTCTATGGGCATCACTGGTTCTCAAGTGCGTGATTACCTTCTTTATCTCTCTCTTTTAATTGTAATGTGCTCTACCTACATGTACCTCCTGTAGAAAAGTAGTTTTAGTGGAATTAGAATAAGTTTGTATTATTGTATGTACTCGTATCTAACGTATAGAGTACATAAGTAACAAAGGTTCAAATTCCAGGTTTCCAAACAGACCGCAGATATCATTCTTTTGGATGACAACTTCGCAACAATAGTTGTAGGGATAGAGGAAGGTCGAAAAATATTTGATAATCTTAAGAAATCCGTCTGTTACATCCTAATATCGAACGTACCTGAAATTCTTCCAGTATTAATGTTTATCTTGTTCTCCATTCCTCTGCCACTAGGTTAGTACATTTTAGATAATCAACTTCGTTTATTTATTAAGTAGGTACCTATACGTATAGCCATTTTTAATTTACGATACAAATATTACACCCAATGTACCTTTAGGTACGTCTACGACCGGCACTAGGATAATGGAACGTTTCCGTCATCGTGATCGTAGTCCTGAATCATCATTCTCTTCAGGAATTGGCAATTCCGAATTGTAATATTAAAACGCTGACTTTCCAGGTGTAATGACGATTCTCTGCATAGACTTGGGCACGGACATGTGGCCTGCTGTAGCTCTGTCTCACGAAAAAGCGGAATCCGATGTAATGGCGCGTCCACCTCGCACCGACGACCCACTGGTGTCCTGCCGAATGCTCACGCTCGTGTATGGGCATCTGGGCCTGGTAGAGTTCGCCGCTGGAATGTTCGCCTACTTCATAGTCATGGCTGAACATGGGTTCTATCCTCCGCAGTTATTCGGTTTGTAACTTGGGCGATTTCGAACATGAACAATATAACTAGTCAAAATACGTAAGTGACGAGTCAATAGTAGAATAGGTACGCCAATTTCATAAATAAGTATTTCTAAATGCTGTTATTAGACTAAAACATAAATATGAACCATCTCAGTATTGCCAATTGCAATTAAAATTGGGTTACTAAAATCACTACCTACAGACAGGACCAATGAATGCTATTCGCTTTCATTATAGCAATAGTCTATATTGGCTCTTTAGTAATATTCATTGGTTTGTAAATCTTAATGATATTTTTTTTAAAGTAAATTAACGTTTTTTTTANCAATATAAGTAGTCAAAATACGTAAGTGATGGGCCAATAGAAATACGCCAATTTCGTAAATAAGCTTATTTCTAAATGCTGTTATTAGATTAGTCTAACATAAATATGAACCATCTCAGTATTGCAATAAAAATAGGTTACTAAAATCACTACAGACAGTACCAATGAATGTTATTCGCTTTCAATATAGCAATAGTCTATATTGGCTCTTTAGTAATATTCATTGGTTTGTAAATCTTAATGATATTTTTTTTAAAAGTAAGTTAAGCTTTTTTTTTATACCNTTTTTTTATAAGTATGCTAACCATACTGCCTAGGTATAAGACGAAGATGGGACAACGAAGCAGTGACAGACGTCCAAGACTCCCTGGGCCAAGAGTGGACGTACGCTGAGCGCAAAGAGCTGGAGCGAGCGTGTCAGGCGGCTTACTTCGTGGCCGTGGTCGTCACGCAAATGATGAACGGCATCATCTGCAAGACTCGATTCAATTCGCTCTTCCATGTTGGTAAGAATGTGACTATTATTTATGTTTTAATTTGTTAAATAAGGAATAAGTACGTGCTCCTTCGATCCCTATACTAAAACTGTCTTTTTAGGAATGAAGAATCACGTCCTGAATGCTGGCCTGATATTCGAACTCATATTATCTAGTGTTATATGTTACGTACCAAGTGTTAATGTGTTCTTCCGGACGTATCCATTAAAATGGAGATGGTTAGTGACATTTCAACTTTTTATGGTATAATTTAATAGGTACCTTGAATATTTAACTAGTTTCCCAAACTACGTAGCCGATCCACTTTCAGGTATTAATTAAATATGTAGTAGATACATATCAAGTATCAAGGTATTTAATCTTTTGAACTTGATGAAACTTTTTGAAAGAGCCTACGAGTTCAATTAGAATCGTGGTTTCCAGGTGGTTCCTAGCTTTACCATTTTCAGCCTTCATGTTTGCGTTTGACGAGTTCAGAAAATATTGCATTCGCAGGAAATTATTTAAAGGCTGGTACAATGATCTAACCTATTATTAAACATAATTAAGTATACCTACTAGGTAAAGGATTGTTTAATAAAAAACTGGAATCCATATTGATATTTATTTCCACATAACTTTGTTCCCACATAAACCACAATCCATTAACAATCATATTAAGTCAATAATTTAAATGAGCAAAAACGCAACACTCAGGTCACTGTAAAATATGATCACAAAAGGCTCAACAATTAATATCCTAAACGATAGGGATGACAGTAGCGACAATAAAGTGAGTCTAAACATCGATACTTTTAAACAGTCTAGCTACGTTACTTTTATTGCTCATATCTGAACAGTCTGGCTACATTGAGTACATTAGGTATATTTTTTATTTTATAATAGTAGTCCGCAGTCAGTTATATCAGTGGCGGAGATAGTAGAATTATCAGATTATAATTATTCAATGATTATTCTGTTATTTCAATGAGATACAGTCAGGGTCAAATAGTTCGTCACACCCAAAGTGGTGGCATTTGACGCTGACTGTGCAATCAATTTTAATTCAATATTAAATTTTATTTTTCTTTGTCCGAGTAAAAACGTAGCCAAGCTGTTATACATTATTATTATAATTAGGGACACATTTCATAGCGAATAATCACTTTAAACCAAAACAAAACATGCAATTTATTCTAGTTTTATGTACCTAGTTCAATAAGGCACGTGTCAAATGATATTTTCTGTAGCCATCCCTTCTCTACATTCACGCGTTAAACATTAAATCTTATAGTTCTACATCTATTCTAATAAAATTGTAAGTGGCATATAATATAACAAAGACATCACATAACAGTATAAATTGATCATTACAATAAATTGTGCTCTTTATTATGATCATTTTTTAATAAATAAGAGTAACAACTGGTGCAAAGCGATTAAAACCCATTAGCAGAAAGATTCAGAAACCGAACACAAAATACCTACATCTTTTATTAGTTTACTGAAAAACTAATGCTACTAATTAAATTATTTCTTAATTTTTTTCTATAACTCGTCGCCTAAATAGTTTTATCAGAGATTTAATACTACTTACATACTACTCAAGGAAGAATGTTTTTAAGTATTTCAAGACCTATATTTAAAATGTAAGTAGACATTTAATTTTGTACTACGTCCGTTTTCATTAGATATAAGCACTTAAAAATCTAAGAGTTTAATGTAACTTAGAGGCAAGTTTGACACCAATATTAAGAATTTAATTTATTCAAATGTAAAAATATAAGTATTTGACCTAGATACATTCCATGATAAGTACGCTGATACATATTACATTTTCTCATCAGTCAGGTTTTATAGAAAAATGTCTAGTGAATCTACTGTAAGCTCTCAAGGATTAAATTCAATAAATAGTTAAAACCTAAACAGACTAAGCCTGTAAGATTCAGTATCAGATCCAAAGTTGATATTAATTTGTAGTAATGTTTTAGAAACATCGTAGTAGTAAAAATACAAGTTTAGAATATTCACGACAATAGTTTCATTTTGTTTTTCTTAAGCGATTACTCATACCATACCATTTAATCCATACTCATACTGACAAATTTATCATTATTATTTTTATATTTCTATGAATATACACGCGGTGTGTTCGCGCCTTGCTTAATAATAATCTATTATTCATCATCATCGTCCATCACCATCACTTAGTGTGATATAATCACATAAAGATAAAAATATATAAATATTATAATTCTCACTACAGATAGACTTAAGAATAAGAAACTGGTACATATAGATTTGACTTTAAATCTCTACTCGTAATAGTTGTCTTTTATTTTTATTTCATTTAGCTTTTATACGGTATTATGATATTACATGTGTACCTATATTACTATTGTAAATAATTTCGTACTCTACAAGTATAAACATGGTCTATATTATTTATAAATGGGATATAAAACTATGTAATAAATAATTCATTTAAGCATATTAATAAATCACTGCTGTATAGTTTATAAACCTACCCCGATAACCTATTTGCCTTATCCCGGATAATATAAATCGGCAGTGGAATATTATTTGTCACAGGTGTCTGATATATTACTTTCGTAACAAGTCACATTCCTGTTAACCGCTCCAAATGAGATAAATATTTTCTTGGGTCGGGAATGGGTTTATTTATAGTTGTTGCAAATCACGAAGGCGAGTGAGCTTTACATGTGTAGTGGCTCGCTACTGTTCGTTTTTCAAAAGTTTTGATTCCACTATAGTTGTGCATGTACACGTACACACAGAAGTAAAACTCACTCGCCTTCGTGAGTTGCAAGAACTTATACAAAAATAATCCTGCGGTCGACGGAGATGACGAAATCGCGAATCGGAAGTCCGATACCGATGGACTATTATTACCTCATTTCGTTTATTTCATGAGCGCTACCGCTAACGCGTTTGCCGAACATGTGCTTCACATCAAGTACCCTAGCTAGATAAACCATAAAATCAGAAAGTACAAAAGTCCGCTTAAGTTGTTGGCGAGTTAATCTAATTTTCATAGTTGGAGTTCGATATTGGAAAATGTTACTAATAATTTCAGTTTTGATAAGTATGACAGTGTATACTTCTAACACTGTGTGTATTCTTTATTTTCTTTTCAGGACAACTTGATTTTAAATGAAATGCATAACTATCAAGAAGCAACTCGCCACGTAGCTTCGTGATCTCTTTCAAACAACAATCAGTGGCCTTTAAAATTGTGGTAAAATTAAAATGAACAGAGTAATTTTTACTAAATCACAACGGCGCTCGGAAAAGTCACCATAATTCTATCATGCCAAAAAATGTGTTCCTAACAAAATTTTTAATTTATTGTTTAATACACGCTCCGCGCTAAACAAGACTCCGCCATCCATCGCTGTCTAAGGACCCTCACCCACGGCGACTTTTTGTAGCGATGCAGTCGCGCTGCTATAGCACGTTGGCATCACTTCTGTAGTGCGTTGCAAATGCGACTAACGCGCGTTAGTAGCGATGCTGTCGAAAAAGTCGCCGTGGGCGAGGGCCCTAAGAAGTAGACCAGCGTTATTGCAGCATTAAGCGATCACTCAAATATAAACTTACTGGTGTTCAATTGTTTCGGAACCGGGACGCTAGGAAGCCGTAGGCAGCGGGCGGCAGGCGCATATCCCCGATTGAGTGGCGCGCCTTCGTGAGCGCCTCCTCGCGGCACACGTCGTCTTGGAGTATCCGCTCCATTATCTTAGCTACAATTGTCGACGGTGGAACATGAGGATTCCCTGGAATAATTAATTTACCATTAAATTTCTGTCTGAATTGTTCATTTTATGTACAGTTAACAACATCTATCCTAATATTATAAATGCGAAAGTAACTCTGTCCGTCTTGCTTTCACGCATAAACCACTAAACCGATTTTGATTAAATTTGGAGTCCCGTGAAAGGGCATATAGGATAGTTTTTGTCCCGGTTTTTGAAACAGGGAAGAGCGCGATAATGTTTTTCTGTGACAGACAAAATTCCACGAGGGCGAAACCGCGGGCGGACAGCTAGTATAAAATAAATAATACATTTTTGTTGCATTCCCACTTATTATAAATAAGATGCCATGCCAATGTTTAGTCATCGTTCAAAGGTTAAAATTACGATACGACACATTCTATTTTTAGGGGACTATCAGTGTCCTTAAAACACAAGTCCAAACATTAAATAGGAATATTAAGGAACTTTGTATTTACAGTTTTAGTGAGTAGATAACCCAACAGGTAAACACTATAAAATATTAGAGTCAGTCAAAGGACAGTAAAACTTAATTCAGTAGAAAATCCCAAGCAAGCAGAAATCATGATCCTATGAGTCTTTTACTTATTTATGTTGCTCTTAATATATTACTACAGTATTAAAAACAATTTTAAATTATAAAGATAACACAGTTAATAATACTCACTGCACCGCAATCTCTGGAACCTGGTATGACCTGTGACAAGCTGATACAGGTTTCATAAAACGGCAAACTGGAGTGCAGTGCTCTGTTAGTTAATAGCATTAGTTGTTAGTACACCCATCGTTATTAATGATATGATATTTGGTTAGTAAACTAAAGAACTATGTAAATATACATGAAACATTACACAGTATACTATACAGCATATTATTTATACTATTTACCAAATGATTACCAAAACCATTGTTAGTTGTCAGATTGTTATACAAGTTAATTTAAGATTATTAATATGTAAAGGTATTTTAATGTATTTAAAATAATTAAGTGAAAATACCTGTCAATCCTCTGTAACCAAAAACACCACAGTCATGCATCCGCATTGAATGTTGTTCATTTTTTATGAATTCTTCTGTACTGATGCCTTTTAACTGAAATATAACAAAAATCATTTGCATATTCACACAACATTCATGTTCTGAATAAATTTATCTCGGCTAAAAATAACCAATGCAGATAAAACTTGTCTGAAATTAGTAATGACATTATTTCCTGCAAATAGAACTTGAAAATAATATGCAGATTTATCCTTTGGAAGCTGAAATATTTTGTAATAACAATTAATTACCTTAGATGGTACTAGAAATCTATCTGGAATTCTTTGCAATTTTTGCTGCTTCTCACTTGGACCAAAGCCTAGTGCTATCAATACTGACTCAGCATCCACTTTCCTTGCGCCCAAAACATTCAAAACTGAGCTGCCACTCGATCCGCTTGCATCAGACTGCAAACAAAATAAAATTATAAAAATAAACTAAGTTATCTGTGAAGGTCACTTGCACAACAGTGATAATATAAACAAAAGTACTTTTAATACCTAACCATTAATGTGATAACACAGTAAAGTGTAAAATTCTCACCTGAAGGGAATGATCTCTAAACAAAGGATTTTTTAATCTAGGTGAACAACCTTCCGATTGCACAGAGTAATCTCTCTGCAACTTCTTAACCGTCCCACATCTGCCACTCAATAAGCCACTCTCTAAAGATTTTCTCTTGTTTATGTCTTTTGAGCTTGGAACTTCTAAATTATTGTCGTCTTGTGGTTTTTCTTGTTTATCCACAAGGGTGCTATCTTCACCATTGAATTCCAAAACTGTGTTTTCAGTAACAGATTCTTCGGGTTTGCTCTCATCAGACTTTATGTCAAGAGTTTTGGTTTCTTCATCCAACTTGCTGTTGTCAAGAACGGTTTCAGCAGGGAGCGAGTCTAGCCACTGCTGCACAGGACTACTGCGCCGCATGTCGTCTATAACTCCGCTGAGCCAACCACGTACTTTCCTCTCTAATATTGTAGATACAGATTCGTTAAAAGTACCTGCAAAAACCAAAACAAAATATTTAACAAAATATTTTTATTGATGTATGAAATATTTTGTGCATTTCTAAATGTCAAAAAGTGCACCATGCTATTTGAATAGGTAGGTATCCAATAAATTATTATCATTATGTTAGTACAACAATTTTATTACCAGATAATAATCTATTTAAGTGCTATCAAGGAAAATGGTTTAAAAACACAAAGTAGGTAGCATGTAAGAAATATTGTTTAGATAGATAATTGCAGTGTTTGGAAGTCAATGTTAGTGTTGGATGTGAGTAGGTGTAGGTATCAACATCACAGCAATCCAAATGATATTATGGCATGAAACAACAACAGTTGTAATACCAATAAGTTCACAAATCCTAAAAAAACTTAATTCTTGAAAAGTAAGGTCAATAATGTTGTTTTATGTTCTTTTCTATGAGCTTTTCTACGTAAATTCGTTGGTGGAACCAACCTTGCTTAGGATCCATCTTCAGTTTAGGTAACGCTGCATGCAATACCAGAGGAATTATATGAAACGATCGTGCATGAAGCTATTTTACTTGATAATCACACAAGAGTAATAAGGATTGTAAAACATGAACTTACCTCTGCATTTATTTTTGATGAGTACTGTTCTATCACGAGAAATCGACGTCAATTATTTTGATTAACTAAACTGGCCCACAGTGTTAATTATATTTTGATCGTTTTCACTATTATTTACTCTTTGAATCTAAGTATTTATTTAATTTTCACGTACGAGTTAGATTAAAACTATTTATTTATGACATTTTTGACAATCAATCACATCACCTGACAATCCTGACATTGACGTTTCTTTGCTTTTTTTTTTGCTTTTCCTTTTATAGGAAAAGGCAAAAGCAATAAGCTATTGAGCCAAGTGCAGAAAAAGTTGTGGCGATCAACACAAGAAAATATTTATTTATTAATGATTTAATGCCATCTAATTGGTACGATAAGACGAACTTAATGCCTTATAGAAAAGGCATTTTCTGCCAGTTGTATTGTATTAGCCTAGAGATGGTAAATTTCTGTTTTGTCTTCGAAGCCATCATTCGCAAAAGAAGTTCTCTGATGGGCGTGAAGAATGGCATCTTGAAAACATTAGCAGATAGTGTCCCTTCACCGCGAAGAAGAATAAGAATGACTAAGTAGGCATCACGGGAATTTACCTATACCCCTTCTCCTGATGAATGAATATGGCTTCGAAGCCATCAGTTTAGTAGGATAGGAACTTTGCAAACATCCCTGATACATTGCAAAAGCGCGGTAAAACCAACATCATCCCATCCTGAAGATATTGTACCTACTGGATTCGTACGAATAGTTTCCAGCAATCGTAATTTAAGTAATTGTGTAACAACCGCTAAAAAATAATATCCAAATAGGGTAGTTACCTACCTAATTTTAGATACCTTTGATCTTTAGTTTTGATTTCTATAGGTACCTGTAATTCTCTCTAGGTTGACCGACGATCGAATGAAGGTCGCGGGAAGCGCCTGGATGCGGGCAGCGCACCTACTTACTTACCGGTCGTTGTGAAAATCCTAAGAAATTTTTCAGCAGATAAGTATGTAGAAGTCTTTATGTTGAACCATATGGCCTTACTTAGGCTGTGAGCAAGATCTGGCAGGCAGTGTTTTATATGATGTAATCAAGTTTAGTTATTTGTTATATTTTCTAATCTTCGAAATCAAATTAATGCCCGCGACTGGATGGTAAGTAGGTAGGTACCTACCTAATTTAGAAATTGCGTTGTCGAGGTCGCACCCTACTGTCATTAAGACTGTTTGGGCCGTAGTTTGGGCAATATTCCAATCACGTAGACACAATGCGGGTACTTAAGGTGCGCGGTGGGCCTTGTAAGCAAGCAAACCTGTGGCAATATTTCTCAACAACACAGTTCACACTACACCTCCTCAACCTCAATCTCTAAGCATAATGCAACGAATTACCTACTTAATCACTTCCTTTTGGACACAGAATTTAAATTCAAATTCAAATTCAAATTCAAATTGTTTATTTGCCTACTAAGTTTAAAAGAATATAGAATAACGAATAATGGAAACCGAAAGAATTAATTACCTAACTAAGTAAGTACCTACATTGGGGTTTTTATATGTAGGATGATGAGAGTGACTTCATTCAGCATCTCTTTTCTTCAAAGTTGCAAATGAGATAGGTCATACACATTGATTCAACTTTGTTATGTTAATGTTTTGATACCCAATTGACATTCATCAACATCATCATTTCAGCCACAGGACGTCCATGGCTGAACATAGGCCTGCATCCAGCTCCCTTCCTGTATGAGGTCAAATCGTCGGTTCACCTCGTGGGTTTTCCGGTACTTCCTCCTCTCTTAGAACCTTGCTGCCCCAGCCCCCATCGGCCGTCAGTTCTGCGTACTATGTGCCCTGCCCATTGATTCCCAAATGTTTCTTATTGCATTAAATAATGTTATGTAATTGAGTGACCATGCAGCTGAAATCAAAATCTTCATCATTCAGATAACATGAATTGAATCTTCCTTTTTCAATCTCATTCTCATGTAGGTCAAACGTATTAAACAAAAACCAACAAGGAACCTTTTTCTATTCCATAAAATAAATAAAAGCCATGGGTATTATAAATAAAGAATATTTATTTTTCTATAAACACATTATTCCTTTTTTTTATATCATCAATGGCTCACATCATATAAATCGCGGATCGCATTGGGCTTTCGTCAACGAAGTCGTGTGCATGGATGGAGAAGAGTTCAGCGGGCAGGCCGCGGGCCGACGCCGCGACGGCGAGACGAAGCGCCCAGCGCGCGCGGCTCCTTAGCTAAACAATTTGTGCATCGAGGTCAGGTAGAGATTACTTTAATCACTAAATCACATTTGGACACTAATATACATGTATAAACTACGATCAACAAGTGTCAATATTGAGCAGTACGAGGTTGGCCGCGGTACCGCGCGGCGCTCAGCCTGCGTCACGCGGGCCCGTACACGCAGTCGCCGCGGCGCGCGCCGGCCGACTCCTCGCCGGGCAGCACGGCGGCGCGCCGCCACTGGTCGCGCACGCGCTCCACGTGCTGCAGCACGCGCACCACGTTCATGCCGGCCAGCTTGCGCACGTCCTCCTCGCTCCAGTCCGGGTCGCGCAGCAGCTCCGCCAGCAGGTGCGGGTAGCGCGACACGTCCTCCAGCCCCTCGGGCGGCGCGTCGATGCCGTCGTAGCCCGCGCCCAGCCCCACATGCTCTACACCGGCCACTCTCCGCACGTGGTTTATGTGTGCGACCACGTCCTCCACTGTTGCTCGCTCACCGCACGTCACTAACTTTGCGTAAAAATTTATCATTACAACGCCCCCGTTAGCGGCGATCAGACGCAGCAGCTCATCTGGAACGTTTCGAGTTGAATTGCAGAGTGCCGCCGCTCCAGAATGAGAGAAGACCACCGGCGCTTGTGAAGTTTCTATTGCGTCTCGCGCCGTTTCCTCCCCTGCATGCGAAAGGTCTACTATCATGCCCAGACGATTCATCTCCCGTACGACGGCGCGACCGAATTCTGTTAAACCACCAGCAGTGCCAGCTGCTCGAGCCCACCGATTGTCACATGTGTGGGTGACGGTGAGATAGCGCGCTCCTAGTTGATAAAAAGCGCGTAACACTGCTAAAGAATCGCCCAGCGCATGACCACCCTCCACGCCTATGAGGGAAGCTATACGACCGTCGCGATGAGCGTCCAGCAGCTCGGCGGCGTCTGTGACCAACGCTAAATGGGCTGCATTCATTTCCACTATACGTTTTATAACGTCCATCTGTTCGAGAGCCAACTGCACGGCGTCCCTGTCTCTCGCGCCGCACGGAACATACGCTGACCAAAACTGAGCACCGACCTGACCGAGCCTCAGCCGCGGGATATCCGTATGCGACCAGCGCGACCTCGCCCAAGGCTCAAGTCCTTCGAGGCCGGCGCTCAGATTGAATTCGCTAATCTTATTATGTAGAAATTTTCTGACGTTCCACGCCAAGTCGTTGTGTCCATCGACGAGTGGCGAGTCGCGTAGCATGCGGCGTATGGTGGTGAGCCGCTGCTCTGGGGTGGCGCGGCCGCCGCCGCCGAGGGCCAGGGGCAGCGCGAGCGCGGCGCCGAGCGCGGCCAGCACGACGAGCGCCGCGAGCGCGATGCGCCAGCGTGGGCGGCGCGGCGTCGGCTTCTCGTCAGAGCTGCCCGACGCCGACGCCGAGAGAGAGTCCGGCGCCCAGCGCCCGCACCGCTCGGCCACGTCCGGCAGGGGGCCCGGGAACGTCATGCCTTCCGGTACCGCGGCCTGCAAAAATAACGCACACGTTAAAGTTTTAAGAACCGTCATACGAGTAATAGTTGACTTGATGAGGCAGTTCCATTATTTTGTTAAATCTGATGGTAATTTTATTAGCATCGTCTCAGTTCAAAAGTCGTATATAAGTTGACACAATTTTTTCAGCTAAATATGTCGTAATATAATCAACAAGATTAATACCTACTGGGAATGCTGTAGGCTAAGCTATAACTTGTGAGATTTTATGCTTGGGTTATGCAACATAAAACATCACATTAAGCCTAGTAAGTCATCTAAAACATGCAAATAAACAAAGGTGCGTAAGCAATTTAGTTACATGCGAACCTAATAAATATACAGTAGGTAACTCGTTATGCTCGTGCGTGTGCCTTCATCCCGCACCATGTTTCCTGATTAAATATATAATCTCACACATGCGAGGCGCTCAAATAACAATGGATTTAAATGACTCGCATATTGTACTAAGTGACGTCTTCAATAATTTATCTTAAGCCTAACACAGAAAGCAAGAGGTAACATATACAAATATTAACATAGATAATATCTAGTTCAAAAATCTTAGGTTCCCTAGCTACGGATCTATAGGTATATATCCTAATCGCATAATCCTCAATGCCATTATTCCACACGATTAGCTATAAGTTTTCGACTTGCGTAATTAATTAAGGATCAGAAAGATTTTTATAGAATTAACTTAAGTAGAGATTTAATCAGTTCTGTGTAATCAACAACAGGTTCACGAATAATTAACTTAATAATTAAATTAGCTTACAATTAAGGTCGGCCAACATCGCTGTAAACACATAATAAAACCATAAACAAGCTAATAACCGACACCACTTTAAGGGGTGCTTGAAGGTGCCTAAAGGGTAGTTCTCGTGTGCTCGGAGCTTAGCTAATAACTATTCAGGACACGCGGGACCGCGAATGAGGTGACTTGAGGAGTTGCAGATGTCAGGCGTGACAATAATTTGCGCGTGTTCAATTATGCAAGGAGCACACGCGGAGAATGGGCTGCAGACAGGGGAGGGGTAGGGGTGAGCTGAATAGCCTCTGACCCATTTACAGAGAAATGGCGCGAAGGCCTGCAGTCGCTGGGATTTCACTTGTTGGTGACAGCCCTGAGTGATATTACACTGTTCATATTGCAGTCGTTTGTTGCGACAGTCAAAGGGCATATAACTTACAGTTTGATTTTAGTTTAGGTACAAAAAAGTGTTTGTTAAACAATAGGTACCTACACGAGATTATCCATCCATTTAAGTATTTATGATAGTTATCAAATAGGTAAGTAAACCTAAAGTAATTCGCAGTCCTTGCGGGAAAAAGTGCTCGTTGGTTCTACTTAATTGAGAGCAACATAATAATTTTGCAGGGACTGCCGGGCTCGGTTCCCGGGTCTCGACATACACAAGTA